AAAGAAGTGTAGAGAGGATAAAGGGATGAGAGGAATAGTTGATTGTTCACAAGCTGAGGCATAAAAAGTAAAAGCATAAAGTGCATCGAGATTTGTTTTACACACAGATACTGGCAAACACAGTAACACTGCCACAAAAAGCACTTCTGAACACTACAATTTTACCTGGCAACAATTTCTCTGCAGTGTTCTGCTTCCTGCACTATGTGAACGCATGTGTGTGTGTGTGTGTGCGTGCATAATGCGTGTTTGTGTTTGAACACAGCCTGCATCTCAGGGCCTGATTAATTACACTGATTCTCAGAGGAGTTGGGGGTGGCATATGTTCCTGCACTGGTGTGAGAGATAGGTGTGTGTGTTGCATGTGTAGCACACTCACCAGTTTTATGTGTGATCAGAGGTGCGTGCATGCAAATGTACAATCCCAAATGCTTGTAGTTGCAAATAGTGTTTGAATGTGTGCTCGTTTCAGTTACAACATGCATCCAATTTACCACAATTTGTGAATGTGTGTGTGTCTAAGTGTGTTTATAAGTGTATGTTGTGCAATAGTGTGTGTGTGTATGTATGTGTGGGTGTTTGTAATCAACAGAGGATTCAGGTGCAGCGCCAGAAACACACTCCTGAGTGCGGCGGGGGCATCCTGGCACAGACAGGGCACCAGATGTCAGAGCAGTGCAGGAACCTGCTCAGTGGACCAGTGACACTTTTATCTAGAGCTGAAAACGGGATCTGGGCGTCCAGGAATAAACCCTCTGAGGGGCCCACCCCCATACATCATGAGGTCCAAATATGCTAACCCTTCAACCAAAACACAGAACTATTTCACTTTCAAACAAATCACCACTGTCAAAGAAAATCTAAAACTAACAATTACAGACATTAACTAACATTGTTGCCTACAGACTACAGTCCTTTATAAGTCCTTGAAGGTTTGTCCGGAGATACAGGAGCTGAGATCTCAATTAGTCGATTAATCATTTTAGAAAACAAGGGAAAATGCCCATTACAATTTCCAAGAATTCAAGCTGACATCTTCATATAGCCTTTTTTGTCCAAACAAGAGTCTAAAACCCCTAGATATTCAGTTTACCATCACAGAAAACAATGAAATGAAGGTGAAACCAGTACATTTTTGCTTGGAAAACTGACTTAAATGGCGAAAGAGTAGGATTTTACTAAAAAACAATGTATAGACTCGTACTAAAAACAATCCCTCTCAATCATTACTTCTGACCCACTAGGAGTGTGTGGCGGTGTCTGTATCTGCAGAGGGCATTATTTTGCTGTGTTTGGGACGTTTCCGGGTGTTAGCCTTTGGGCAGTGGGTGTGTAGCCCCCGGCTAATCGCAGCGTGCAGGGTGTGAGGAAGCTACGAAAATGTTGGCCACGGCGCCGAAAACATCCAGAACCTGTACTTGCTCAGTCACTTGAAATCACTCAACTGAAGAGATTCCACTAAATGGCTAAATGTAATGTAATGACTAAACAACATCAAGCAAATAAAAAATACAAACGCCCATTAACACTTTGGAAATGGCAGAGCTGCTTTAAAGCAATAACCATGAAGCAGGAGCTAAGTTAGCCGCAGTCATTAAGAATCTAATGGCAACTAAAACAAGGAACGACTGACTCCTGAGAGGAGACGATACTGAGAAGGAAGAAATGATAAAGCTGCCTGAGGAAATCAGGTCAGCAGAATCAGTGACCTCTTTTAAACCTCTTCTTAAAAACATACTTTTATCTGAGCGCATTTCTTGATTTTAGTGACTGCCCTTTTGCTGGTTTAATTTGTTTTATGAAGTTGCCTTGTGTGAAGTACTTCGTAATGTGGGTTTAAAAAATGTGCTCAATAAATAAATAAAGAAAGAAAGAAAATAAAGATAGTCACAAGGCCGCAGGCTCCAAATTCAATTTGCAAGTGATCAAAAAAAACAGCATTCGATTTTAGGGTTGTTAATTTGACGGCTACAAATTATGAGCGTCCATCCAAAACGTTTTTTTGTTCTGTTTCTGTCAGTGTGCTGGGGAAGCCATGATGCTGGCTCACTGCTCGAGGTGTAATGTGTTGTTTTCCCTGCAGAACTAGTGAGACAAGCAATTTAGTTAGCTGCTTTGTGTGCGTGTGTGTCTGTGCGCATGTGTCTGTGTATACTTTATTGCTTTGAGCCAACATCTCCTACAGACAGTGCCATCTTTGTTACACAGTTCTTTCCCCCTGCTACCTTGCATTAGTCTGGGCAGCTCCCGTTCTTACCGTTAATGATAGAAATCGCTGAGGTTATTAACCGATTACACATTCTCCATCAGATTAGGAAGGCTGTACCCAGCCCAGTCCCCGCTACAGGAATTAGCGCTACACATTTCTCTTCACGCCGTGTCCTACAATGACACTTCACAGCCCTTCATGGACGCTTGTTATTGCCAGGCAAGTTGCTAAAAGCAGCTTTTAGCCGTTTTGAAAGCATGTGTGTTTGTGTGAGATATGAGGGAAGGTGGGCGAGTGTTTCTATTTTTTTTCTCTGTTTTCTAGGAGTGCAGGTACATGCCACAGAGAGGAGCTGTCACATTCATCACTGAGAGGCACTCTGGGTTACTCATGCAATATTCCCCTATGGTTAAGTAGTGTATGGGTTAATTTAGTTTCACGTTAGAATGCTAGGTAGGGCAGACAGTCTAAACTGAGACCCTCTCTTGACACTGAGCCAAATTTAAAAAGGCAAGGATCAAACCTGCATTTTATTTTTACCTTTATAGAGGTGAAGATGGAAACAGAAAACATATTTTTAGACTTACCATAGCTGTACAGTTTATCTAGATTTAGTACAGATTTGACAAAATGTAATATTTCTCATGCTCTGTGTACTGTGGCCTGCTGAGCTGTAGAAAGCCTTACAAAGAGGAGAGGAAGCGCATGCTGCCTTGTGACTGAGATGCAGGGCGACAGTTGACCTATAAGGGGCTGACTCACCCCCACGTTCACTTCACCACTAATATATTCATTTAGTAACGCTCAGGGGATGTGCAGTTTCACTGCATAAAAATGGTTGAGCACAACAACTCGAACGCATGTTTGCACGCTAAACAAAGCGCACAGAATTTACTAAAAAAAGATGCCAACTGTAAATATGATAAGGGAAATGGTCCATGGGTCAAATTTAGGTTACGAAATAAGATGTGATGAGAGTGTGTGCACATGTGCTGTGCATGTGCGTATTCATATAGAGTGCTGAAACGGAAAGCAAAGAGAAGTGGCTATCCATTTCTCAAGAAGACAGACAGGTGGGAGAAGGGGCCTGAGGTTCTGAGAGGCCAGTCAAGTGCCCATCCATTGCTAAGGGAAAAAGATAGAATATCTCATCCAGAACAAAAAAAACGGACCTAAAGAGCCTCAGATCATAAGAAAGAGGAAGAAAAGAGTAGACAGACGGAAAAAGAAACACAGACAGAGCCCTGAGTCTTATCAGTGGCAGATTAGTGCAAGAGATAAGGCCTCTAGGCAAGGCGTTGTGTTTAGCCTGTTTGAGGCTTCCTGTCATCATCATTAAGGCCACTTCTCCGACAGCCACTGCAGAACAGAGCAGCCATTTGGAAAGATAGCCAGTGAGAAGGAAGATAAAGAATGACAGGACCTTTGGTCAAAAAACAAGATGATGGCTATATTAAGTCTAATGAACAGTGTGAGCCCCAATCTGTGCCGTTGTAAAGGCACTTGAATCCAGGCCTTTCAATGTAGAAACATTGCAGAATTTCATGGCTGTCCTAATGTGCAATTATTTCTCCCAGTTTTATTTTCCATAATAATTGTGGTAAAACATTTCCTCTGGGGTGTCCACTATACTTAAACATTCTAAACATATACAACAGAGAAGTGTACTGACGTTTTGTACTATGTACTGATATTTTTCCACCAACATTAACAATTATAAAAGGCTGACATCATCATATCCAGCAAAATGATTGAGTTACAGCCTTGCTTCACATCTAATACCTTGTCCTCCCCTCATACTGTACACATCCCTTGTAATAATACATAAAAAAGGGTGGTAGGTAATGTCTATTGTCCTTTGAAAAGCAAACAGCAAAAACCTAGTCTAATGAGGCAGTGGTTTGCCTTGGAGATGGGGGAGGGAGGGTTGTCTGCTGAATCTAACTGGCTGACTGGGTGACAGTAACGGTCTGTGACACTTCACTGCCGCGGGAGTTGTAGGCACTAGTGTATTGTGACAGAGTGCAACCTTTAAAGGCCAGCGACTGATGCACAACAGCACCCAAACCCAGCGACTCAGCCTATGTCGGTCTGCTCCTCTTGTCTGCGGTGAGTGCGCCTAAAAGCATCCGTGACCACACACATACAAAGGCATGAGCAGTCATACTGCATATACACACAGAGAGAGATACAAAAATGCTTCTCTCATTGCTCAACGACGGCTCAAAGGAGCCCGAGTGTCGACCATCTCTTGTCCAGTTTTAAGGAAATGTGTCCCTTTATGAATCTGGAGAAGTCCAGACAATAATAGTCATCATTTGCCTTGTGCATTATGATCAATTACAAAATCTGTCAGTTGCCAATTAGTGTGGCACACTCAGCCACGGGCAGAGTGTGGACCGAAACTGTGGACTGATGTAGCCCACACAGAAAACAAAATCCTCTACTGCCACCTGCTGGTCAAAGTTACTTATATCACTATTTTGAGGAGAGAACATCAAGAAATATGATTATTTATTGACTCCAACTGTTAAAATTATGTTCTGGCTTTTTGATCTCTTCAGTAACACCAGCACACACAAGCAACTCGACGATGCTGGGCCCTAAAGCTAATCTCCTTTGACCATTTCATCTGTCTGCTAATATCATGTCCCAAATTAGAAAGAGAGTGATGGAAATACATAAAAGAATGAAACAAAGGAAGAAACTTTGCAGGTGTATTGAGGAAGCCTGTACACCTTGTAGATCAAATAAGCAATTTAGAAAGGGGTGATTGTGTATCTGTGTGTACCTTTCGTAGATGGTCTTGAGAGGGACCTGGTCAGACACTCCATCAGTCTCTTCCAAAAACAGGATGATCCACGATGTCCTGTAAGGCCACTCTTCAGTCAGGTTGATCCATGATGCCAGCCGGTCCCAGTTGAAGATGATCTGATTGGCCCGCAACAGACGACCTGACAACAATGGTGCAGAGGATTAGTGGGCATTAAAGATCACTGGTCTGCTCTTCCTCCCAGTCTACCAGAGAAAACAAACCTCTCAGGATTGGGCATCCTCCTCTCATCATCTCTGTCGATGAAATAATCTGTCCAAAGTTGTGGCATTAAGGATAGAGAAGTGGGCTTATAACTATTGCAAGGTTGAATCACAGAGAAATGTCACAGGTTGTTGTTACATGACCTACTTCCACATCCTGCGAGAATTTGATATATTTACAGTATATCTGATATGTATAATATATTGTAGTAGCTGTTTGGTTCTGTTACTCTTGTAGAATCTGTTATCAATATTTTAACCAATTTGTGTCCATCATTTCTTTTATAAATCATAACTTGCTGCAATGTGTTTATTGAAAATGGAAATAACATTTTTAATTAATGCCTGCTTAAACTTTCAAGCAAAATGCACTCTTTATTAAAATGCCTGGTTAAATGTACGGCCTCTGCAACCACATGTTAACCCCAACTGGTCTCTGTTTATGGGTTTTCCCCTTCCTCCGTCCCAAGCAGTATTTTCCCAATGGCTGACTGAAGTTAAAATTAGTTAATTAAGGCTAAATAACTTTGATGTTGCAGTACAGACAAAATGTGATTTGTGAGTATTATGAGATGATGGTGGTGCTGGAGCAGAATATGGTTTATTCTTTACCTGTGATGGAAACAATGTTGAGCAGTCTCCTCATGGTCTGTGGGCTGATGTCGCTGAACCAGTCCTCAGTCACCAGCAGCTTAGTCAGGTCAAAGGACATCTGTCTGGTGACGGTCCTCTGCATCTGCCGACGCCGGTATGTGTCCTTAACAGAGCAAGAGTACAAAGACAAAACTCAAATTAGCATAGAACCGGAAACTTAACATGTTCTGGATTGTCAAGTCTCCGGCTGGCTTGGCAAGATTAATATGTTTCTAAAGCTATGGTTTCATTTGTTCTTTTTATTGTCACCTTGTATCATCAAATCATGACAAGTGACAGGACGTGATGCCGAAAAATCTGAATTTTGGAAAGAAACAGAATTGCATTTTTATTGCAATTTTGTAATGTAAATCCTGTCACAGTGCCAATACAAGCAGTATATAAGTGGGAAACGAAGAGCAGGAACTGTTTTTACAGTCATGGATATAAAACCAAGACAGCCACAGGAGACATTTAACAGCCATATACCATACAGGGAAGTCTTAAAAATCAGATCTCTCCAAAGACAAATTGAAACAAAGTGAAACAAAAGTACAGAATTACTCTTGTCCCTTCTTGAGATTTTAATTACTTGCGCATCATCATTGCTGCAAGCGGTGCATCATGAGACAGGAGAGCAGACATTTAAGGGTCACCATGTGATCTCAGGCCATGTCATTGTAAAACCTTGTGCTTGAACAGATTGAGGGATCCATGTATCCATGTCGATAGAGCCTCATGTTCTCATATTCTTGACTTCCCATGCATCCGATCCATGTTTGAATGTACTTGCATGGAACCCAATGATGCATTGATGGATTATTTTACTTTCATTCAAAATGAAATTATTTTATTTTAGCATATCAATAGTAGCACAACTTTTTTCAGCAGCATTAGAGCAGTTACTGTACTGTAAAGATAACCCAGCAAAGGTCTGCATGAATGGGGTATGAGTGAAACCAATAAAAAACATTTCTTTCATGTTGTCACTCTAATGATCAGCTTATTCTCTCTTCCTTTCTATATCATCCATGTCTTCATGAAGAAACATATAACTCCCTGTGACTGCAAATAAAAATCAAAGAGAGACTGTCCAAAGCTGAACAGTCATGACACACAGGCAAGCTGTTGACACAGATCTACCGGAGAACATCTGTGATGATATCAGACAGCTGCCATGGTCATAAGCCAAGGCGAGGCTTTTGGTTGACTTTGAAGTCGTAACGCCAGTCTCATGACCTCTTTCTCTGAGAGATGAAACATATGGCCACCACTCAGTGAGAACTGAAAAGGTCTATGATACAGACAGCCCTGTGTGTCCAATTTACCAACATATATTTTATTGGTCAACTGAGATTATTGTTTTTGTATATGCTTATTTCTACTGGTTCCTTTTCTGCTTGCTGGCAAAATTGGTTATACTTTGAGAGTGTGGTTCCTTTATTTATTTAGAAATACAGAAAGCTGAGTTTTTCTTATGAATGGGGATTCATTTGATTCCAATAAGTGGAAAAAAGATGGTAGCAATACTCCTAATGTCATCCACAACTTGAGAAGCCACATGAGAATGGAGAGCCACTAATTCATTTTCCCCTCCTGCCCTCATTTTAATCTCCACTTGTAGAAAGTGGGCTCTCCTGCCAAGAGCTAGCTAGTGGCGGAGGGCAAATAAAAAGAGCTTGCAACCCCATAATAAAAGAGCTAGCACCAATAATTGAGGGTACTAGATAAACCCAGGGTACAAACAAATGTCAAACAAACAAACAAGAGAAGGAGGCGGGAAGGAAGGAGGGGTAGCGGGATGGTCTCGCAGGGGGTGGAGGAAGGCATCAGCGACAGCAGCAGAGTCACTTAGCCTCCTGCCAGCAGACCTGGTGCCAGCGTTTTGTCACAGGGACCCACTGCTGGTAGGCCTTGTCATTAGGCTGTGGCAACGCAGCAGGAAGGATAAACAGTCATTACATCAATTACACCAGGAACCTTGGCCGCACACCGAGCACCTCTCTCTTTTCGTCTCTGTGTGTCTCCTTCTGTCCTCTGTACTACCTGGCTGCCAACACCACGCCTGTACTGCCCCCCCACCCCCTCACACTCGTTTCGACAAAGCGAGAGCAGTGAGGGTTTCTAAGGCAGAATCCCTAACCCTAATCCAATGTTTTCTATTAAAGTTGTGTTGACGTAACTGCATTTTAATTTTATTTGATTAATGTCAGGAGATCAAGCATTCATTTCCAGCTTTATGATATTTCCGGATAAGACATGAGTGTTGTGGGAATAAGTGCGCTGGGGAAAACTAATTTCTTCAACCTCGTTCTATAAACAATACATCTGTTTCATTTTAATTTTGTATCAAAAGCTTCTCTGCAATTTGTTATTATTGTTGGCTTTGATTTGGTTGTTATGGGTTAGGGTGGGGTGGGAACTGTGTCTATTTACATGTGATAAGTACAATGAACAGCGCTCGATATATCTAATTTGGATATTCTATAATCCTACTCTTGGACTTGTTTGCTCTCTCAAGGTCTTTTGACAAAGAAGAACCGAGGCACATCCATTCTTGTCTTCTTAAGTTATATAGCTTGGGTGGAGTTGGGAACCACTGATGTGGGCCAAACACGGTTTGTGATTTTGGCCTCCACAAATAAACCAGGCTTGAATAGCTGTTACCCTGCGGTTTAGGGTGTTCTTGCTGCCAAGCTTGGCCTGGTCTTGGCCCATGCTGGTCTGAGACATCTTCCTGTCAATGTCTTCATGCCTTCCTGGAGACAGATGGATGAAGAGATAAATATAAAACAATAAAATATTAGATCTATTCAAACAGAACTATATCTTCGAAGCAAAAATGGCCCCAAATTGTGTGCAATTCTCCATATGTGTGAATACAGTACAATAAGTTATATATACCCTCAACAGGTAATGGCTCTCCATTGGTGGGGGCCATGCAGAGCTTTTTGGCTGTACTGAGGCCTCTGCTGTTGAGGAATACTGGCAGGTGAACGATGTTCCTCATGTAGTCGTGTCCATTGATGTTGGAATCTCTGAGCACACTGTTGAGGTTCTGATTGATAGCTTTAATGATAATATGGGGATCGCTGGCAAAGATGGAGATAAAAGGACCCTTGGAGAAGAGTACTCTCACCTGGAATGAGAAAGGAACCACAAGTTAGTGTGAAAGAACATCTTTTTTTCCCCATAAGATAATGTTTTTCAAAGTATGATATCAGCCTGTTGCACTGCTGTTTGCAATGAAACTCATTTGGTTCAGTCATGTGAGAAACATAGGTTTTAACACAGCAGATCCCTCTGTGGAGTGTCTCTTACTTGAATGTTAAAATGGGTAAGTTTACAATCTAATAAATCAACAACAGGACAGCTAGAGGCAACAGTCAGCTGTAGTGCTTAAATTTAATGACCCCTGTGAGAGCTGACTATCTGCAGCACATGGTGTCGGGGATTTCCACTCTACTAACTAAGGGACATTGTCCAAGTGTCACAGGACATCGATTTGTGCTACATGCATAAATGGTTTGTTAAACCCTGGCCAGCACCCTCAGCCTCGCCCCACAGGATGACGAACCCCTTTCCCTATAGCAGCTGACGGCACCGTCAAGTAAGGCACCATCACATGATCTGTTTCTTTGATGTACATTGTCTGGTAGGAAAAGTACACAGACTGAAGAAAAAAAGATTTTGGTTTGATTTGTGTAACCTACAAAAGAATGGATTTCAAATTGCTTTGAACAGAAGATGGTTCACAGTGACTGGGAGGTGCATGCAGAGATGAGAAGATTACATTAGCGCACAGGAGGTAGCAATCTACCCTGGGATTACTTCACCAAATAATAACATTTGGCTAAAGGAAATTCTATTACAGCGGCTAGGAGGAAGAATCTAAACTTGGAGGCGAGCTGATGCAGCTGTGAACACCAGGGTGGCTGCACAGCACTGGAGATGTGTGGGCTCTGTGTGCACTGCTCTACAACTGTGTCTCATGGTTATACATTTGCTTGAGTGACAGATGTTGAAAAATGTAATTCCTTCTCCCATATTATCTTGTTATCAGTCGTGAAGAAGCTGCGATCATCATTAATATAAAAAACACACACCGTGTCCAGCATCTGCAGCACTTTGTCCTGTTCACAGGCGTCAAGTCCGTCGATGATGACGGCCATGCGAGTCTGGTTCTGGGTAAAGCCATCAATGGTTTTGGCCATTTTTGACATTAGCTCCACTTCATGCTTTAAAACCTGGTGTGACACAGGCGACAAAAAAACTCCAATGGCTCAAATCAATTTAATTTTCAATGTTTATGTGGGAAAGGAAAATTGGATTAGGAATACAAGCTCATAACTTTATAAGCAAATGGAACTCCCCTTCAGCCATGACAACAGGATGTTGTACTTGATTAGGTACAATGACTTAAGTGTATCAGGCTACCTTCATAAATCCTTCACTCTTGAGTTTATGCAAGTTGTTGGCAGCACTGTGCAGCCGTTTCCTCTGGGAGTTGAGGACAGAGTCTGCCACCTGCCACCAGGTCCTACAGTTGAGCACTATGGCCAGGCCCACCACACTAGCCATGGCTATTAAAACTGCATTTATTGTCAAGTTCTCAGGGTCCACCTAGGAAATAAAAGCATTGAAACTGATTACTGGGGTGTCAGGCGACCTAGTGGTTAGAATGCACAGTGTTTAAACGTAGGGTCCCCGGTTCATTGTTCTAACCCACCTTAAAGATGGCCAACAGGGCCATACCAGTGATCAGGCATCCCAGTGTCAAGACGAACAGCACAAAGGAGGGAACGCAACATGTTTTCTTCCACTTCTTACCTGGGGTATGTGAGGAAGGTAGAGGATAACGTGAGAGAGAGCACAAAACACAAAGAAAAACTACAAACAACTGACAAATTCAAGGAAAAGCCGACATGAAGCGTCTTAGTATGAAGTCAGGCTACCACGAGCCTCCAGAACAGCTTCGGTGCTCTTTGCCAAGTCTGTGGGACTCTGTGGAGGGATGAACACAATTTCTCAACTAGATATTCCCTCATTTATGTATAAACAACCTTTACTTAATCAGGTAATCTCATTGAGATCAAAATCTCTTTTGCAAGAGAGACCCGAGTACAGCAGATAGCAAGAAAAACAAAAAATCACCAGATGTAGGACATAGGACATACTGCATCAGAGACAGGCACCTACATCCCTAAATAGATTTAAAAGATGTAAGTTTATATTATATAATTTGGTTTTATGGTTATGTTGAGCATTTTCTTACATGATGTTTTAAAATCCTATAGGTGTGAAACTGGATCGAGATCTGGCTGTAGTATTTTATTTACATCATTTTCATACTCATCAAACTCAAGCATCTGCATTGGATATCTTTCTCCACTCTTTTATTCCGGTTTTCCCTTAATTTGTCCCCCAACTGTATATATTCTGTGCACACTAGAATTACCACAATCTTTACATGTTAAGATCATTTTAGAAAGTATGTAGTAAGTAGAGAAAATACTGCCTAAGTACTGGTTATACATACAAGAGTTCCATTATGTTTTTAAAAGTGTCATTCTTAAACAACATTCTCATCTAATTTTATTAAGTAAATACCATGAAATCTGGTTTACTGTTTAATTAAATAGTGATATATTTCACTTCTTTAAATTTTGGTTTACTGTACAGTACATGAACATATTTTAATTTGTCAGTCATTGACCTATAATAATTTAAGCTCATTATTGCAAATGTAAGATTCTTTCATCTCAATAAGAGGTTTTTGTGTGCTGACATCTAAAGTCAAAGACTGCGACGTCACCTTGGATTTCACTGTTCTTGAAAACCCTGAAGAGCCTGGTGGCCATGAAGCCAAACTCCCTCTCACAAGCATCTGAGAGCGTGGCAATCATTTCAGCCATGGAGGTCTCTCCTCCAACGCTGGACAGACGATTATAATCCGTGAACAAGAACCTGTGTGATGTAAGAAAGAGAAATTATGCTTTGTTTTGCTTAGCCACACAGCAAACTGCATATGGGACTGAGTTTTTAACATTGCAATAAGAGATGTCATAGTCAATGGTACTAATCCACATATTAAGATTCACTACTCATAATAAATGCAGTGTGGGACTGCAATTGTTAGATGTTTACATGTTTTGTCTTCACCTGGGAACCTGACAGAAATCAGCAGTGACTGCGTGTGTGTGTGTGTGTGTGTGTCACTGTCACCTGACAGGCAGTGCGCGGGTGGTCTGCTCAGGAAGTTCAGGGGGGTTGACAAACATCAGTTTGAGAAGCAGCTCCAGGTAACCAACCTGGCGAGCCAGACGTGTGCTGATGACCCATGCCCAGCTCCAGTTCTCCCTCTCACGCCGACTTCCAAAGTACACCAACACTGGAGACAGTAGGAGACAGGGTCAACTAAGGAATTGCTTTAGCTTTTCAGTGGGGTAACGAGCCAAAACAATATATTTCATGATTGCTATGTTAAATTCTATTCAGAAACATCAGTAAATTCTCTTCTCTTAAAAATCAACAACAATGTAAGTTAAAAAGTTCATGCCGTCATCATCTTTAATATTGGTTGTATAATGGCACACTCTAGTGAGCAAAGCAGTTTCAAAAGCATCATACAGAAGAGGTTCGCTTTGCACAAATGAATAAGTATTATTTTAGTTTTCTTATGAATGTGAAGGTTGTTTTGTTTTAGGTGGCATTTGTTTGGTAACAGCTTTGTATAAACATATACATGTTTATTTAATCCATTTGGAACTTCCTTTGCTGTAAACATATGCCATTACAGTAATACCAGTATTAATTCAACCACTTCCAAAGAGGCTCCTCTCCCTGAAGAGCTGGTCAAATGAAAACACAATTTCTTCACAGTCATCAGCCTAGGACATCTTTCTCCTCACCAAAAAAGATGTAGAGCAGGGCGAGGAGGCTGAGGGAGACGGCAATTGCCAGCTTGGGATCAACGGTGAAGCCTAGAACTGCGGCAAGTGAGCCACAGAGTAGCAGGGTGAGGAAGACCACCAGCCAAGAGAACTGGAACAATGGCTCTATCTGCTGGCCTGCAAAGGTCTTCATCTCATCTGAAGATGAGAGGAAGGAAGAAGTAAAAAAAAACAAGACATTTCAATCAAGTGTAAGGGGAGATTAAAATATAGGACAATATGAAGCAATATGAAAACAAACAAATGTTACAGAAGGGTTAAAAACCTGAGGAAAGGCATGGTTGAGAAAGCAAATTTCCACTTTTCATCTTTATATGAGACTGTTTTTAATGCTGTGGGCTTACGTACCCTCCAGTTTCTTGAGAAGGAAAGACTTTCCGCTGCCCCACTGAGCGTACAGTCCAACACAGATAGGTGGCTGCATGGTGGGCTCGCTAAGGATGTCTGCTAGAGCACTGCTATACAGGTCATAGCCCAACATGTCTCCATCTGACTCACAGGGGGAGAGGTGCTCTAAGAGAGAAAAAGAGAGAGAGAGAAATGTAAAGAGAGGAAAGCAAAACCAGTGCAGAAGTCGATAAGAGAAGACAGCGTAAACCAGTGTCATCTTTTCCAATTTCTGAACCACAAGCCTTTGAGCTTGTTTTGTCACACATTTTTTCTGAATAAAATGGAGAAATGGCTCATACTGGCTCCAAATATCTGCGTGAGGATGCTTTTCTGGTGGGTACAATCGATGTTGTATGGGGTCTCTCCAGCTTTGTTGGGCCGGTAAAGCAGGCGACCGTCTTTAGGGTTCCTCAGCAGCAGCTCAGCTAACTTTCGGCTTCGCCCTCGGATGGCAATGTGGAGGGGCGTGTCTCCTTTCTGAGCAAAGAAAATCACAGAATAAACTAATTGCTGTTACTGAAAGCTCTGTAAAACACTCCAAAAGAAGGGGAGCAAAAAAGAAAATTCCAGATCACTAAACTTAATAACACTATGATAGTACTGTTATGACAAAACAAATGTATGTACGTAAGTATGTATGTAAGTGTGTTTTAAAAAGTACCTTATCCAGCGCAGACACCTTGGCTCCTTTATCCAGCAGCAGTTCCACGATCTCTATGTTCCTCATTTTTGTGGCTTTGATAAGTGGGGTCTCTCCCTCCTAAAACACAGACAGAGATACACAACATTTCATGGATATCATTCTGAAATTTGTTTTGAACACAAACATCTATACACATTGGACGTTTAAATTTCCAATGAATCAACAATACACATGTGAAAAGGATGTTTCAGAAAGAGAAAGAAAGACAGAAAGCCTGGGGTCTGCTGTTAAAAGGGAATATTTATAGATTCTGCCTGTATTTTTGGTCAACAGTATTTTTACAGACTTTTTTCAGAAACTAAAAATGTTAAAACTATTCAACATTTTTATGTTTGAAACTCTGAGAAATCAGGAGAAGTAAAGCAGGGGAAATGATACAATCAAGACATTTAGGATAATAGAAGAGTGCGTTTTACTCCTTTTCTACAGAGTGTGTTGTACCTTAGTGCAGCTCTCGGTGTCTGGGTTACACTGTAGGATGTCTCTCACCATGGTAGAGTTGCCTTTCTCTACTGCCCAGTAGAGGGCAGTCTTTCCATCCTGATGTGGAAAGGACAAGGTAAGGCTTGTTTCTCTTTGAACAAAATACACTGTGTCAAAAATACAAAAATACATATGGACTGGTAATCATAGCAGATAAAGCAGTTTATTATTTTGTATTGTGCATAGTATATTTATAATGTTAACCATTACAGCATATAATACTAATAATACTAGAGTATATTTGTGTAATTCTAACACAATGGATTTAAAATCACTTTACACAGAAACAAGAGGGCTAAATTAACAGTACTGAGGAGCAGTGTGACATTTATTATATTACATTAAATTATTTATTTAGCTGTCACTTTTATCCAAAGCGGCTTACAATTGCTATATATGTCAGAGGTTGCGTGCCTCTGGAACAACTAAGGGTCAAGTGTCTTGCTCAGGGACACATTGATGTCTCACAGTGGATTCGAACCCAGGTCTCTCACACCAAAGGCATGTGTCCTATCCACTGTTCCATCACCACCCCACATTTCAATAAGAGAACACCTCGTCTGCCTTTAAACTTCACAAAATCGGCAAAGATACAGTAAGAAGAGCTCCTACCTGGCCCCTGACATCAATATCAGCGTATTTGTTCAGCAGAGCTCGAACTATCTCCCCGTGACCTCCTCTCACAGCTCCAATCAGCATTGTCTCCCCACTCTGAAAGAGATGGTGAAAGAGAGACAGAAAGGAATTACAGACAGAGGGGAGACATACAGTTCACGCTGTATTTCACATCAACCACTCCTCTACGTCTTCAAACTGCAAGCTTGTAATGCTGCATCAGGTTGGCCTTACCCTGTCTGGGATGTTGACATAGGTGCCGGCGTCCAGCAGGTCCTGTACGATCTCGATGTGTCCCTCCTTGGCAGCAATGGCCAGGGCTGTGTTGCCATCTTTGTCCGTCATGTTGACATTTGGGTTCCTCTTCAGCAGCTCCTTAACAACCTCTGTATAGCCACCTTTCACTGCCACAATCAGAGCGGTCATTGAGTTCTGAAAAGACACAGAAAGAAGGACTTTAAATGTGCGTATTTGAAGGTGCCTCTACCTCTAACATTTCAACATTGCAGATGTTTCTCTCTACAAGACTGGGTGTTCAAGGTTGGTAGTCAGTAATTTACGTCTGAAGATTAACAAACTGTATTTCCCAAATCAGTTTACTTCAGCAGCTCAGGGAGACTAGGCTTAATAACACTTTATTATTAACATATCATTTAGCAAGCCCAATAGCTCATATATTTATATATGTGTCTTAATCACATATAAATGAACTGCTCTGCAACATTAGTTACAATAGTTCCACCTGATTATTGATGCTACATATCAAATCATCACAGTGTTCAGTTTGTTCAGCACAGATGCAACATGACTCGCAGGAGCATAGATATGCTGCGTCATCGATGCAATCAATTTTTTAACAATGCAGTTTACTAACGTGTTTGTGGTACCTGGCAGCATTAAATCTTGGCTGGCGAGAACAGGCAGCTTTGTGTCTCATGGCACCGATGATGAACCCAAAACAAAATATGACTTGTTATGCTGCCTGTTCAGACTACCAAATCTAATATTAACAAAGCCAAATACTATATAACTAATTGTGGGTGCAAAGCCATTTAAAGCATTGTAATATGGTTATTGGCACAAATAAATAAAATAAACATATTTAATATAACATAATTTGTTATATTTTTCCACAACTTTCAAAAGCTTTCCAAACTTTGCAGCCACATCTAAAAACCCTGACAATAAAAAATACACTTGTAATCTAGATTATTGTTATCAAACAAATATTACATTTCAGAAGAAAAATAATTCTGTTAATATTGTCTCATTTATAATTTTGCAAACTGCAATTGTAAACTGTAATAAGGCTTTTTAAAGTCAAACTTTACTTCGTCTTTCTAGATGAAAGCATGAGAGTGTTGGATCTCTATTGAATGCTACCAACAAATAGTAAACAACCACTTCACAGGAAATCTACAACCTACATACCGCTCCTTCTTGGTCCACATCGGCTCCGTTGGCCAGAAGGTGCATCACACTGTCATAGTGGCCCTTCCTGGCTGCCCAGATCAGAGGAGTGGTACCATACTGCGAAGAAAAGAAGGAAACATGTGTAAAGAGTGCATGAGACATGAGTGGTAAGAGATGATTTAGTCAACAACCCATGGACTTAATTATGAAGGAAGAATCTTTTAAGCTTGTACCAATGACTACATTTTCTGTGTTGATGACAAACATCTGCCAGTATGTAGTTACCTTGTCTGAGCAGTTGACCTTGGCTCCATGCTGCAGCAGAAGATGGACAATCTCAGCATGGCCTCGACCCGCCGCCCAGATAATGGGGTAGACGCTGTACTGTTGGGGCAGAGGAGGTGTGTGAAGTCATGCTGACGGTAACTAATGATCAGTGTCAGGCCTGCAGTCGCACGCTTTAAGCCACCACACAGGACTGACACAGCAGATGATGGGAGACACGTCGCGCTGTGCAGGTGAAGAGCGGGGCTGTGGTTGTGGTCACATTCTTCTTCCTCTGAAGTTACATTTACTAGCATGTACAACTAATGTTCATATCAGTTTATAACTAGTGAGCTGAGACGCTGCATTACACTTACATGGAGTAATTAGAATAACAAAAAAAAGGAAAGTCATCTTCCCCCTTCAGGGACTACTATCTGAGATTAGATTCTGTTGGTGTGGAGTGGTGTAAACTTTTCCTGTTCAACAGATGAAAATATACCTATCAACGTCGATTATGCTATTATTATAGGTAGTACAGTATTAAGTACAGTATGTACAGTCTCACCTGACCAGTGATGTTCGGGTTAGCTCCTTTTTCCAAGAGCAGCTGGGCCACATCTGTTCGACCTTTATAAGCTGCCCACATGAGAGCAGTCCAACCTCCCTGAGTAGGATACAAGCGCAGAACATAGCACACTTGAATAGAATAATTATGACGATCGGAAAGGAGAGAAGAGAGGATGTGTTGATGACTACAAAACAGCTCTACATATATACAGTGTATGCAATATTCTGGACCTATTATTATAGGCATTATTTTATAGTAATAAGGTATATGAGCAGAACAGTATCAATTCCAAACCTTCCAGAATAGGTCAAATCTAAGCAGATTTTGTGGTAGGAAAATGTGCTATTTACAGCTGGTGTGACACACTTTCCAGTGAGTGAACACGATCAAGCAGTGTGGTTTATTATAATCCCACTGTGATGACTGGCTGTGATCTGTCCTGTGCAGCTTAGACACGCCTCGCATGGCAATGAGTCAGATGATGTCCTAAATTGCTGCCATAAAGTCACTGGGGCCAAGGATTTAAAAATAATAATAATAATAATAATAATCTTTGGGTGCCAAAGTAGAAATGTAATACATGATTTACCCTACCTACTGATGGTAGGTAGGGTAAATCATCATAGCTCACTACATTTTGAGCATTTCCAGCTGCTGGAAATGCACATTGCTTCTTGAGCCGGGACATCTACATCACAACTAAATACCAAACACGCTCAGCCCCAGGTCATACATGTGTGTATCTCATCTGCATGTTGCCAATAACTCTGCCCGTGAATATACGGTATAGCTGCTACAGCAAGCCTGGCAGACAACTCTCTGCCTCTCACAAGTCTGGATCCCAAGACTAAATCATATCACTGCCCCATGCAGAGACAACCAGAGCTCAGTAAATGGGATTACTACTAGAGAGGAGCCATCACACATAAAGTAATTTCATTGTATGTCCATTTCAAGGCTAATGGATCATCCTGTAAAAAACAGCACTGGGGTCATTACATTTTACAGAAACCATCAATGTACATACAATCTAGACATCATTATTTTACTGTGTTTTTTGTATAAAAGGCAACATTGTCAAGAGTCAACTTACAGAAAAGAAGTTTGAGCAGCTTGTTAATCAACCAAGTTTTATTTTAATGGAATAAACTGTCAAGTCATTTTGACGGAGAGGATACATTAATATCCCTTACTTTTGCTCCTCCCTACACACCAGTTGTATTTTATTATGATAATTTTCTTGGCATTTAAGCCATTTATTATAGTAGTATAGCTATAAAGGAAACAAGGAGAGACAATAAATTTACCCTTTTTAATTTTTTTTAAACACTATTTTCTTGCCTTAATATCAATAACGCTGTATGGCCTTTCTGGAGATAATGATGTCATTATTATAGTACAGAAGGGCTGGGCAATAAAACAATATCGCAATATAATTTTCCTCAATAACAATAGAACAAATGTTCAATATATTGTCAATAAATGTTTTATTTAATTCATTTGAATCACAAACGAATTAGCACTTTTTTTTTCTAATAAGATATTTAATTTGTTGAGGAAAAGGACTGAAAAAAAGATTATTAATCATATTTTTTGAACAAAAGATTTTATCGTAATTGTATTGAATGTTTTACCTCAGATTTGTGAAGTGATCCTTTGTTTGGCATCAAGTGTATGTAAAGTTCTGACCATAAACAATAGTTTAACCACACAATTACCCATCTGGCTTCTTCAATTTTCACTCAGGAGCGTAAATCAGCCTTTAAACCTGATAGACATTAATCATGATAAATATTGACATCGAATGGTATAAATTTTTTTTATCGTGATAACATATTTGGCCATTACGCCCAACCCTGTAGTACAGTGCACAGTTTTGGATAATGTCATGCTACAATTCACTTTTTCATATTTAAAACTGAAAATCAGATCATCACATTTCAGTAACTATATTTTCTCACCATGTCTCGATGTTCCAGGTTAGCATTGTTCTCCAGCAGCTCCCTCACCACCTCAATGTGGCCCTCCTTAGCTGCCGAGATCAACGCCGTCCAACCGTCCTGCACATACAGACAACCTGTTACCCTGGGAACTCCCATCAGACTAAAAATCCAGTGGACCAACGTCTGGCCGAGCTCTACGTGGGACGCCCCTGGGAATGCTCAAAGCATTGTACCTACCAGCTGGTCATACCAGGTGCTCATGGGAACACGGTGTCTCATGGACAGACAGGAGTGTCAGAAAGTAAAGTGTGAAAGACAAGAGCGACTACAGTGTGTAATGCTTCTCCTTTCTTTATCTGTGTTAGTACGTGAGCAAGCACAAGTTTGAGTGTGCCATGTGTAATAGCAGGTTACATGTACGTGAGATGTTAATGAGAGGTGTAGTGTGTGAGCATGCATGCGTGTGCCTAAGTGGGAGGGTATATGCACGCGTAAATGTGTGCGTGCATGGGGGGTTGGCTTCCTAAGGCATAGGGTGTTGGCCAGCTAGTGAATCCTGTCATTTAGCCAAAAGAGTGAAGGTAAAAGTGTGTAATAACTTGTCATTATGGCTCATGACGGCTCATAATAGCTGTGGACTAAGCCCGAGTGTGGTGAGTTCAGCAAGATGGAACATCAAGGACCCCAGTTCAGCTACGTATTCTCTGTCAAGTGGACGATGTGGTTAAAAGGGCCGCATTGTTTTTCACCTGTGCCTGGCCTCAGTGCCCTCTATAACGCCACATGCACCTGTGAGCGAGGGTGTGTTCATATTAGGCAGTTGGCGAGGTTATGTGTGTGCTTGTGTATGCTTACAATGTCGTCCAAGTTCACAGTGGCTCCTCTCCTAATTAGTTCTTGTAATATCTCCAGATTGCCCTGCTCTGCTGCCACCATCAGGGGAGTCTGTCCATTCTGAAACAAGGAGAGAGGGAAAGAATGGAAACTGCCAATTCATTATACTGAATAAAAATTATATATAAAATCCTAGGCAGGGATATTATTTGATGATTTAACGCTAATCCTATACTGTAAGACAACCTGACAATCAATCCCTTAATGCAACATGGCCTATACCTACATTAGTCAGGTTAAAGGAGAAAGATGTTATTCTATATTTTTCTTTCTGTCAAAAAATTTCATGAAAAGACTAAAACCAACAGTGCGTTAGTCCATCTTTCAATACTTTCCAACTTCTGTGGGCTAACATGAAAATAAACTAGTGCCCATGGCCATGGAAATGAAGGAACAGATCACCCAGTGAAGTAGTAACCATGGCAACTGATTCTGTGTCATGCAAAAGCCCTCCAGTTAATGTCCCGGTAACTGTTCAGTGAGCACTTATATATTTCAGGGAAGTCACAGACACCGAGGATCAGTCTCTCTTCTTTTTGTGCTGCGCGTTGCGTACAGAAAGTTCAAGTCAATTCAGCTTTGGCAGGGGCGGGCGTGTGTGTGAGACGAGCACGACTGCGACAGTTTCGGGAACATGCCCGCTTGTCGCTATGCCTGTCGCAATCCTCGCACCTCCCTTCCTACACGCTCGCCTCTCATTGAAAATGAATTACAAGGCCCGTAAATCACTTCCCGTGTGAAAAGGCCTTTAGAAGTTTTCACATTTTACTCTTTTACATCATTAATTTAAACGGTGATTTAATGTGCCTGTTTTGATGTGCAGAAAAACGCTCTTAAATGTCCAAGTGAAAACAGATCTCTAAAAATTATTTTAAAGGGCAGTGAATACTTTTTATAGACACTATTTCTCATGTATGGCCAATGTAAAGTAACCCTCCATAAGCTGAACACAATATTAAGTACTGTGTCTTCTGAGATTATAGTACCCTTTTCCCATAAAACACTTGTTACATGATCTCAAAGAGCATCTCATTACTTCATACTCGGGCATACTAGTGGCTGACTTACATCACTCCTGCTGTCCACATCTTTGAACTTGTCCAAATGTGCTTTGATGGCAGCCAGGTTCTCCTCCTCCACATTGCTGAACAGACTCTGGATTGCCAGCGAGGTCATCTTCATGGAGGTGGTGGTATCCATGGCGGACTGCTGACCCCCTGTGCACCACTTGAGAGCGAGGGGAAAGCAGATTAGCATTCACAGAAGGCTAAAGATACCGATGGCATCTATCTGGCCTGCACAGCTGAATGTACAACACTACAGAGAGAGAAGCCCAAGAGAGTCGTTAAATTAAAGCCAGGAAGTTGGGTGTGGTGTATCTTTGAAGCGATGCTGGGGAATAAATAAGTAGTGTCCAGACCCAGCTAACACGCACAAACTCACCCATAAAAAACAAAAACCAGAGGCTTGATCTTTTTGCCCAGCTATAAACAGCGCGACATACAATCACAGAAGAGGGTGTCATATTTCAAAAGGTCTTATTGGAAAAAAAGATTTATTGATCACCAATATGGTTTGCCAGCGTGTGTCCGCTTTCCTGTGTATGTATGGTTTCAATGCGTGTTTGTGCTTTCTTTTTTTTACCTCTAAAAGTAAAAGCAGAATGTCAGAGACTGTATTTTTGTGTGTGTTTCAAGCAGAATGTAAAAGTATGGTTACAGTAGGACAATGCGCTGAACACGCTCATTACACAAGAGCTAACAGGCAAAGGGCACTTGGTTCAGTTTAGTTCAGCCTGCCTGCTCATGCTGAAAACATGAAGTGAAATGTGTCTGCTCAGTATAACGAAGCAATGCCCCGCTCACAAAAGTCCACTAAGTCATCAAATACCACTGAAGACCAACAATAGCCTTGAAACTTTGATCCTTTGATGTAATGATGACTTGGACAATTGGTGCACTCTACTGTGTGCTCTAATTATATCAAGACCGACCTCAGTCCTACCCTCTTCGACTGCATGAAATTGGACTTTGTGGAACTTGTTTACAATAAAACAAGAAAAGTGCTGCTTTTTTTAAGTGCCTGAAAGTACAATAGGTGCACAGCTGCGCACTATTTCACCAAAGCTGCTTTCCATTGATGGGAAAATAGCAGTAAGGAACAGTTAGGCGATTGCATCTGACAAATCAATGTAGACAGCCCACTTTGGGGAGATTATCTAGAATTAGGCTGCACCATTTTAAAGATTAGTTTAAACTCAGACATTGAATAGCATGTTCCTCTATTTACTGAGTAATTTTTAACCAGGAGTTCAACAGCAGTACTCACGAATGACATTTCTGTAACTATTCTGCACTATATACTGTAAAATGTCAAAGCTTCCCAGACAGTACATGTGTTATTTTACCTTACAAAAGAAAAAAACCCTGTCAATCATGGCGTTTGCTTTAGTAGGGATTCAGCCAATCGATGAAAAACTCATTAATGATTCATCAAGTTGGGCTCTTCATCATCATTGTCAGACTTACTTCCTGCCACAGAAACATGGATTAAAGAGCTGCGTTCACTGCTTTCAGATTGTCTTGGCAATGGGTTTAACGTAAAGACTAGCAAACATACTGTTCAATATTTCAACATAATCTGTGAGACAAGCAGCTCAGGCTCAGGTCAATAAATACCTAAATGTCACATGCCTGTTGGGCTGCCAGCACAAAGGCCCAAAGCAGTCGTTTCAGTCAAATTCAGAGTGGCCAAGCAGTGAATAAAATTTTTTAGTTTTTCCCAAAAGTCTGACCCTGACTCTTCAGTCAGGGATCACCTGCCAACTGTTCTCCCACAGTGTCGTGCATAAATAAAAAAAAACAACAACAAAATCCTTTGTTTACAGTGAAGGCAGGAGCCTGTTGACACACCCTCCTCAGTTCCTGGTCTGTCAGCACAATGGATGGAAAGTAAGACCACACAACAACCAATCAGTACACATTTATCCCTTTTAAACAATGATCAGATGGGGACCCCCCACACATCCCTTTTCACAAAACACGCACATATTAAAAAAAACAGACAAAACACCAACAAAAACAGTCAAATCCATTAAAATAAATGTTTGAAGAGGCTAAAAGAGTGACACGTGGTCTCTAGAAAACACTAAAACGGTAAACAGAGGAGCCCCTTACCTTGGTGTAGGGTGAAGCTTATTATTTATTTGGCTAGTCAACACCAATCTTTATCCCTTGCTCGCTCACACACAGTATCAACAAGCACTGCCGGGCTCACGCTCAGCATCCCCCCTTCACTGAAGGCAGAATATTAGATGAGGGGGCTGGCCTACGCCCATCTCTTCCCAACACAATGGACACACGCGACCAGATTTTCACTCATTACATGTGCTGGCTAGACACCAACTGAAGCAGACAAATTAGAGAGACGATTAAGATGTTGGCCTGATTTGATTTTATGAGTAATGCAATGAAGTAAGATTTGGATATTATATTAATGGAAGCCATCACTGGCAGATTATCACACTTGTCACTCAGTTAAAGCCACAATATATAGATAAACTAAATATAAACAAATCCTGAAACACTGTCTATTAACTATTGGCCATTATTATATGATACTATTGTTTACTATAGGTAAACAATGGTAGAAGAGGTACTATTCAAAAATATTCACACTTAAGGAAGCTGCAGCCAGTGGGTTTTTTGCATTTTTGCTTTAAAGAATTACTTAAACTTTTTTGCCAATTAATTTTCTTTCAGTGAAGTTACAGATTAATTGAAAAATCATTTTACTTCTGTAGAGAAAGGCAGTGCTTTTAGCATACATTAACATGCAAGAGGAAAAAGACGCACAAGAAAATTTGAATCAAAGGAAATTACTGTGGAAACCGCTGCAAATTGATCACCATAAGAATGATTATTATGATCAAAATTATTTCCTTTTTCTTTATTTTTCATGCAGATTACCATCTAATTTACATCTGTATATTTATTATATGATATTTAAATTAAAAAGACAGCTTCATTATTTATTAAAATTTACTTACAGTTTACAAATACAGTACAGCTGTTTCAAACACTTTTCAAATAACTGTACAAATTAAATTACAGTACTGCGTGCAGTTACTTACTTTTGTTCAAATCATAATGAAGCTATAGTCTTAAATAGTATTGTGCTGTTTACAAATACTGTTACTGTCAGTACTGCAAATAGGCTCCTAAGCCGCAGCTTGGGGTGGTTTCAGTGGTTTTCTAAATTTTTAAAAGGTCTATAAATAAATTGTTATCAATGTCGTGCTAGTAGCAGAGTTTGAAAACATAAGTATTTATAAAATGCTGTGTTTTTATTACCAATGTCGTGTATCAATATCATTTATATCAACATACAGAAATGCCTACTCTCAGGTCAGATATGGTCCAGTATTTATGTTAAAACACAGACCTCGTGATTTCTTGTTGAAAATTCAAATAAAGTCCTTGTCAGCTGAGCTGTTATCTGAACTCAGACAAATGTGAACTTGGTAAGCAGCACTGGATGGGATCTCTAAATTTAACCTGTCAGCTCTTTAAGGCTTGTCATGTGGGTATGAAACTGCTGAGGATTCAGTTCCCTAACAGATACTGGGGTCTGCTCCAAGAAAAAGTGCTTAACTGAGTTGTCTGGAAAACTATAATAGCGAAACCCGGAACTGGTCTTTTCATGTCAGTCTATGTAATATTTGAGGCGGATCTGAAAGGTTATCTATTTAACCTATGCTTGGAACAAATCCCTGCAGCTGCTGGAGAGAAACTGAAGGTCTGACAAACAGCCAACCAGGACACTGTTTCAACATAGTGGTGATAAACATACTGTGGGTGTATGTTTTCTGCCTGCATCTGCACCTTGAAGTTCATTTCTAACAGCCCATCTAAGTGCGTGTCTTTGTTGTTGTCAAAAAAGTAAACATCTGGATGACACTCTCACACACACGTGTGGCCTCAATCGTGACTACACAAAGTAATAATATACTTATTCTGGTCTGTAGTGGATTTGGTTTTGAAAACGGTGTTACGAACAGACTGACTTCCCGTGTTTAGTACTATCACTAGGAAGCAACAGCAAAACACTCGCTTGCGAAACTCCCAACGGCTAACAGGCTAACGTTAGCTTAGAGTGGCTAGCTCACCAACAGGTCCTAATACATACATACTTTTATCACATCTTAAAGGGATAAAGGGTACAGCGCACAACCCAAAGTTCTCTTACCTAGGTTAGGATGCACTGTAACAGTTTCTGTTTTGATTCCACTCCGGAGAATATTGTCAAAGTACTGCTTTTCACGGCATACTGTGACTTCTTTGCTTCTATGTTTTTAACAGCAACGTTAACCTGCCTGCACTCTAGCTGCTACAGTAACGTAGCAGTAGCTCCGCCTCCTACTATCTGCGGTTACAGTGGTGTGACCTGCCCCCCATAACACACACACACACACCTATATTTTGTCTACTAGAAGGGCCCTCTCTGACAGGATTACTGTTGACAGTTTGGATGTTGCACTGAATTTTTCAAAATGTTCTCTCTGTAAAAAACAAGTGGACTTGTCATAACAGCTATCCATGTGTTTAATAATTAAATACATTTAAAATCTGTTCTGCGTGAAACACAGAAGTCCACTAAGTCGTCAAATACCACTGAAGACAAACAGCAGTCTTTAAACTTTGATCCTATGATGCAATGGTGCCTTGGTGCTCCTACCCTCCTCCACTGCCTGAAATTGGACTTTGGGGAATTTGTAGTGCCTGGAAGTACAATAGGCACACAGCTGCACACTATTTCACAGAGGCTGCTTTGCATCAATGGGGAAATAGCAGTAAGGCGCAAGATAAATCAATGCAGAAAGACAGCCCACTTTGGGGAGATTATCTATGATTAGGCTGCACCATTCTAAATAATTAGTTTAAACCCAGACATGTTCCACTAATACTGAGTCATTGTAACCAATTTTACCTGGAACTGAACAACAGTACTCACAAATGACATTTCTATAACTATTCTGCACTATATAGCCTACTGTAAAATGCAGACACTACATGTATTATTTTACCAGACAAAAGAAAACCCCAGTTTCAGCCAGTCGATGAAAAACTCATTAATGATTCACCAAGTTGGGCTCTTCCATCATCATCATAATCATCAGGTACTTGTTCTTTACTTGAGCAGTAGTAAGAAATATTATTTCACGACATGTGTTACCATTTTTGTAGATTCAGATTTTAAAAATCTGTAATGAGAATATGGAATATTATAGCTGTCCAGTACATTAAACAACCCAACAGAATATAAAATTGCTCAAATATGCTCCACCTCAACTAGCTATTAAAATGCTTCTTACACTTGAATCCATCAGTGATAATAATCTAATATAAATATAATAACACTCACAGGGGTAATTTTCTGCAAAATCAATACTTCATATAAGTGCTAATAATATCTTTTACTCATAATAGAGTAATCTGAATACTTCTTCCACTACTGATTTTTACACACAGTTGTCTACTTTAGTTCCTATTTTATTTTATGTTTATACGCATGTATTAAACAACAGATGAGGAGCCTAGAGATTATGGTTCATTTATTACAATATAATGTGCTAAGCAAATGAGAGCATGTTGAGCAGTAACATGTTACTAGAGTATTGGAGCCAGAAAATGCCCACACACACTGACATTTACTTTGAAAAAAGTCTTGGTCGCTTTAAATTTATACTGGACCGTTGAATTATAATCATTTAAACATTGGATTTGTGAATGTGTTTGACACAGAGTCAACATCTGTACAGTTGGGAGTGATGTTGGGGTACCATAGTGGTAGAAAGGGAAGTCTAATGTCACAGCAACATACTACTGTAAAGTGCATGTTGAGTTTACTCTTCAGTTCAAACTGTTTCATCAGAACATTTTACCAACATAGGCCTTTGTCAAAGCGGACATTTTGATTTGTCATAGCAGAAAATCAACAGGTGTTACCCGATGGCTCCGACCTATTTAAGTGTCCACTCTGAAATGGAAGCAGCCGTTATTAATTTTATCACTTACACCTGTGCTTCACCTACATGTCATCATGTCCTGTGTGAAAAAGGCCTATTGCAAATACATGTCATGTTGACAGAGGTGCCCAAACAGTAATATTTTGATAAGACCCCCTAAATATTCCTTAAACTTCAACATTTCAGAATCCTATGCAGACAGACAGCGTTGCAGGGACTTATTTTTCTTTAACATCTACAGTATGTTATATTGTAACATTTCAGTATTGCAGAAATACAATCGTCACTAACTGTAATTTACCTTTTTCACAGGAGACAATTTGGCATGTCATAACAGAAAAAGCAGAGCTGTAATTAACAACATCTGTATGACATTTAGTTCCAGGGCTTTGGAATGCTGGCACCGAGCCATCATTAATGAAATTTGTTGCACCTTTGATTTTCCTGCGAAGACAAGTGAAAATGTCTGTCTGCCGTGAAAACGGTCTAATGTAATAATGCAGCGACATTGCACCACAGCAATTCAGGGACACTATCTGTTGTAGGGATTTTCCCTTTGCTGAATGAGCATGCCCCTAGATGAAATTACTGGGGGGGAACACATTATTTTCAAACATCAATTTTAGTGTTTAAAAATAATTTCTCTTTATTTTGCCACATAAATCAGAATTTTAAGGTACTGTTATACAAATCTTTCATTAAATTTCCTTCGGACACAAAAATAACCATCATGTTACACAGGCGCAGCACACACATACTACATGGGACACACGCACGCACGCACACATGCTCACATACACACAAAATAAAATGCGCCATTCTTGATTTGGCACTTTGGACATATGGAGCAGTTTGCATTGATCTGCTGGTTCGGGTGGCCATGCAGTGCAATAATCGTTATGTTTATAGAATGACACCCCCTTCCCTTAAGTGGGCCACACTTGCCTACACAAAGGCCCAGGCTACAAAATATGGTTTACATGAGACCACATCAACATGTACGGATCACTCGAATACTTGTAACACAAACAGTTATGGCAGGAATATGCAAATGTTAGAAAATCTTAAAAAGAAATGAAAGAGGCCTCACATCTGCTGCTTTGTTATTTTACGTAACGCATGTGCTACTCAATTTACTGACAATTTTTAAGAAAGAAAAAAAAGCACAACTTCATTGTGGTTATGATTTTGTGGGCTCCAAATCCCCAGACTACTTTCCTGCTCTAACAGATACGGGCGGAAAAATGTGTCTTTTAACTCTTTAAACAACAGTGCAGTGCCTTTTCACCTCGTTTACACATTTCCTCAACTAAATCCATGAAAATGTCTAGTGAAATGGAAATGAATTACATGGTTGGCTGTTTTGAACTGCTGCTTGTTGTAAAGAATAGATGTAGATGATTTGAAAGGCTTAAGGTGGACTAAAACAACATGGGAAAGCAGTGTTTCTAACACCCTACAGTAAATGCGCCCTGAAACAGCCCCTTTTCTAACATAAGTGCACACAATATGATATAAGACCATTTACTGCAGCTGGTCTATGTCTTTGTACAATATTATGATGTCATACACATTAATAACTGTAGCACATTTCCTCACAGACAAATGCAAATCGCACACTTCATCTGCAGCCCGAACACAATATGTGCATTTTTTAGCACTGTGCATCAAATTGGAAACTTTTCTTTTACATTCAGTTGGTTTAGAATACTACAAAACCTTTGGACCATTAAACAAGTCTTCAGTGAATGTGGGAATGTGATTAGATTCCTGTTACATTTGTAGGATTTAAAACAATTAAACTGTGCAAGTGTTCAACAGTGACGTTAACAATCCACTGTGTTTCCCCAATTATACAATTTTATTAGCATTCATTAAATAGTTTTTGGATACTTGTAATAGAAAGGCAAGACATTGCAGAGGAAACCTGTTGTGTGAAAAATATGAACGCATTAAAAAATAAAAAATAAAATAAAAATTCACACCCCTGAGCCCCAGGTCAGAAATCCTTAATTATATAAAAATTTAAGTCATGATAGGGCCAATAAACTCCCTTTGAAACACACATTTATCTTATGAGTCATGTTTGTCAAAAAAGCAGCAGATATGAAAAATATAAAAAGAAATCTAAATCCATACCTCATGTGCCTCTTTTAGACTTACCACTGCAGGAGGCAGGATGTGAATTCCACTTTGGGACTCTCTATGTCAGGCAAAGTCAATTCATCCCAGAAAAAAAAAGCATTGAGAATGGATTTCAAATAGTGTTGTCACACACATCTAAATACAAAACAGGTACAATGGGAATTCTTCTCCAATAGTTTTTTTTTTAAAGACATAGAAATCATACAACGTTGTGAGGATCCTAAGGCCTGTTTGAAATTGGCAGCTGATGATAAAAGGTTATGTTTCTTTTACATGAACACATTTTGGGTTTCCACCTAACAGAGGCTTATATCCAGACAATGACAAAAACCCTCCACATACTGCACTTCTATTCTGTTCTGTTACGCCGCAATGGTGAAACGGCATTTGGCGTCTAGCAGTGTGCCATCCAACGGCTATTTCACCAGATGAGTACATAGAGGGTTTAAGGCAGCTTGGAAGTCTTAATTTCCACTAAAGTAATCACTATCACTCATTAGTTTACACCGTCGCCATTGTTACATCCTGGTCTCTTATCCATGTCAGAAGTGTGATTGCTGTCATCCTTGCTACTGGAAGTTTTGACAGAACATTGACTTGTGTTTTTCTGTCTGTTAGGATTTTCAGAGAGTCCGATATTTGGTTCTTTTGTCAGGTAAACAGACCCGCCACGCTCCAGCTCCGAGTGGTTTCTAGTTCGTCTCACTGTTTTTGCTGCTGAGGGGACTGTGCGACGCTGTCCTGAGCCTCACGTGGCTTTGTCTCTCTGGGTTCTGTTTGTTGTCTGTGCTGTTGTGGTCTGTCTGATTGTCCTGTAGGCCGTCCTGCTCTTTGGCCTGCCGGCGTTTTGATTTGACCGGCAGGGCCAGTACCACCAGGAGACAGAGGAGATGTAAGCAGAAGTACCAGGACCTAAAAATCCAAAGTGAGAATTATGTCAACACAGTTTATTATAAGTAGCAGATAGAGAAAAGATGTAAATTTCTTAGTCATGCCGCTAGTGTGGCAAAAAAACAAAGAGCGGCAATGTTGGTCAGTTGGTCCACCGCTTTGGTCCAGATGGAAATATCTTAACAACTATTAACAACATTGACTGTGATTCAGTTTGGTGCAAACATTGTGTTCCCCTCAGGATGAATTGTAATATCGCTGATGATACAGTATACCCTAAATCTGCAAAACTATATAATGACATTCCCATCAGCTGTACTTTGTATTTAGTGCTAATAAGCTAATGTTAGCATGCTAATACACTGAGCTAGGTTGGTGAACATGGGAAACATTATACCTGCTAACATCTTGTTAGATTGGTCATTGTGAGCAAGCGGGAAGCTTCCGGTCTGAGATGTGAATCCAATGCGGAAATCCCATAAACTTGCATTCTATTGAACGGCCAGCAGGGGGAGACTCTTCTGGTTGCAAAAAGAAGTCCGGTTCCATTAGAAATATTGGTAAAATGACCCTACTTCTCAGCTGATTTATTACCTCAGCAAACACTTTCCAAATGAGTTTATGGTCTCAGTTGCTAGTTTCATGTCTTCTTCAATACAACGTGATGTTCATTTAATAAATTATGGTCCCATTTAGAGGAAAATAGACCATAAAGCAGAGTATGGGCAGGAATAGCTGTGATTGACAAGTTGTTACCATGGCAACCTGTCAATCAGGCTAGAATGACTCCTACCCACAACACTGTGTAAATTTAACCAGCGCCGCTGAAAAAGCTTATTAGGAATTGGCTGTTCACTTTCTCTGGTGAGTACATTTAGTTTTAATACTGTTGTTCGCTAGACAAAATTGTCAGCCCTGTTAACATGACAGTTAACGTGAATTACAGATGCACCTAGTTAAGCAAGCTAACTAGCTCCACCTTCTCGTCCAAATATGGTCACTTCCAGGCACCTCCTGGCAGTCCACAAACCGATGACTATGTCCGCTTCTTTTATAAAGTCTATGACTGTGAGCATGTTAGCATGCTGACATTAGCATTAGCACTGTGCCTATAAACAACAATTGTAAACATCGAAAGGCTTTTCGAAAGGCGGGGGCACTGACAACCTCATAGTCATTAGCATCATTATTAGTCAAAGTTAGGGGGGAATGGCTAATTGTGTGTCGTATGAGAAGAAGGAAACTGCAATTTTCAGGTTGACAAAAAAAAAAGGCTGCAGGAAAATTAGATTAAAACTGCTGACAAAGGAACGAGACAATACGCTCTCTGTGTCAAACTAACCTAACTAACCTAACTAAATACGGAAAGAAATCTACCTTATCAGACTATTCAGTTATGCTTATTATGTTGTTGACCTAAACAATAGCACCATACATGGATATTTTTCCAGCTCTGCCTCCTCCTTCTCCCACATCCCTGCTCCTTTAATGCATCCGTTTCACACTGCCTGTCTAGTAGTCAGGTGCAGTCCTCGTCTTAACGACACTGACCATAGCTGGGACTTTATTTTAGGGCAGAGAACGAGCAATGTAAGGGCGGCACATTTTATGTCCTCCTCATCAATCCTCCCCAGCCTTCGTTCATTAAGCTGTCTCGTTAACTGTTACAGCCTGACAACAGAGAACCAGGCTAATGAAAAAGTTTTAATTTCTACACTGTGCCACATTAACTGCATTTCCATGCTTAATATAACAACTATTTTACACAACAGCAGTGTACAAAACTCTCATAATTTCTTTGTGAAAAGCAGAGGCTATAGTATTCTCTCTTGGAGTCTGATATTTGGTTTAATGGACTCCACAGTCAACAATACTGCTCAAAGAAATATTGTATCAGTTTCAATATACAATTCAGTCAAACACACTGTAAGAGCCATATATGGAGGTTTGTGTTGTGGGTCCAGTCCAGGTGTCACCTTTCTGCTTTGCGTCAAACACAATTTATGTAGGAACCTTTACTCAGGCGACAGGAGTTGCTAGATGGATGGGGAGCACCAATATTAATTTATAAGCTGTACTGTGTTTAGTGGGGAAATGTTAGACTCAGTGGATCTTTGTTGACTGTGTTGTGGACTACTGCATTTACCTGAAGACCGTTAACGGTGATAAATAAATCTGAACAAAAATAGCAAGAGCACATTTCTTTATGTAACTAGACACTAGCAGTCTATGCAACCCTCAGTGGCTTCAAGTTTAGATTTAGCCGCTACACACATATACCTGTAGAATTTGAGTGAGGGTCCCACAGCAAGTAGGACAAATGGCGCCACTGTGTAGCTAATGGCGACCTGAGTCCATGCCCACGTGATGACATCATAGATGCACTTGTACGAGTCAGACCCCAGGAAGTGCGGTCTGATGTTGTGCCTTACCTGGGAGTGCAGAAAAAACATCCTGTGAGTTTCTCAAAATAACTTTCACATGCATTAATCTGTAAACTTTAAAATGCATTCCTGCCATTCCACCGTGCAGTAAACTAGACTCAAAATGAACCAACTGACCTACTTCCTGAAATTTTTCGTGGCAGCAGGCATTACACTGCCTAGGTCTGCTTATAATCTGCCCATCCTTCTCTTTTTTCCCATCTCTCTCTCTGTCTTTCTCCATCTCATAACTCTTCAGAGAAATCTATCTCTGAACATGTCCATGTGGCAGTGGCCAATAGTTTTATGCTGTAACTGGGTCAGTGGTCTCCTTGTCCTACTTTAGATAAAGAAGAAAAAAGTCCCTGCAGGAACTCACCTGTGTTTCCGATAATCAACCCTTCAGACCGTTCTTATCCAGAATTATACAGTGTAAATCACCACTCCACTTGTCTCTATATAAATACCCTCTTGTCTCTTTCTTTCACTAGACTAGAGTGAAGAGGTCTGGCTTAGCAGAGATTAGTGGTAATGGCCTCACACTTTCGCATGAGGTATATGTGGCATACTACTTTATTATTATCCTCTTACTCTCCATAAAGAGATTTTGTTTGTGGGTATGCTAAGTAGCTAAGTGGTAAATCTAAAGAGCTCTTACAGAACAATGGAAAAACAAAAAAATCCAATTAATAAAATATATCCATAATAACTGTGGGATTCATCCTCTATATTATCAGAGCATAACGTACTATTGTATAATCATGACTTCTATCATCTATATCTATCTGGCTGAATATATTTGGCTCCAACCATAGATTGTACTATATAGACAGAATCAGTGTATGTACTCACTGCACGTGCAGCCATGGTCATGGCAATGCCAGTGAGGAAGGTCAGGTAATAGCCGGGGTACACCCCATGCCACATGGCCGACAGCAGGAAGGTGGCAGCAGTGGGGTTGATGGCACAGCGCTCATAGCACACTCTGGGGAGAAGACCGCCATGACACACATCCAGTGTTTGGTCAAAACAATTCAAGTAGAAACATATGAAAGGTTTATGCTTATATTTCAGCATCCCTCTACAGCCAGGGCTTGCTCTCACACAAGCTGAGCAAGGTATAGTATTACAAACTGTATTAGTTTACCTTTTGAGCCAAAGAGCTGTCTGGATATTCCAGTTGTCTAGGAAACTCTTGAAACTGGTGGCAAACTGAAATTGGACCCAAAACAATATACTTTTAGGCTTTAGTTGAGAAAGGCCTTTATCTAGATATAATATGTCTTGTAAAAAGAGCCTGACCTCAATGTCCAGAATTCTGAGGTTGGATATCAGGTCCCAACGTGGGGAGCCATCTTTGTTGTATCCATTGAAGCCAAATCCGGCAGCATTGTTGATAGCGTCAGCTGCAGGAGAAAGGTACAAATAAGTACTACAACAGCAACAGCAAAGGATAGCATTAGCTTGTATAGCAATGACAGAAACAGATGGAGATACAGCATCACATGTATTTGTATGAAGCGCTGCAGTTTTCAGTTCAACACTAGATGGCACTGTTGCTTCAGGAAACGTTGTTAAATAAGACTTTTTTAGGCTGCATCTCAACATACTGTACAGACTACTTTAAAAATAGCTCAAATCTTTGAACCTGTAACAGCTCAGTGAGTTCATACCAGTGGTAGCATTATAAAACCAAAGTAGTAAGATGCCTATATAAATATATATCACAGTCCAGCTTCATTCACTCCAAAGTCACTCACTTTGTATTGAGTCAAGCAATTTGACTCTTCCAGGAGATGGAGCACAGTCTTCAGTCTAAGTTCATTATTGAAAGAAGAAGACAGAGATACACAAGGCCATCCAGGTACTTTCAAGGGTAACTCACATTCCCAGTCTTTTGACAACCATTATTTGATTAAATATGTGATTCTGAAGGCCATTACTTTTTTCTCTTCCTCTAATACCAGAGCTTTGCTCTTTTTCAGTGTTTGCTTGTCTTTTTGATACGCCAACCATCAAATACATATGGGTGGTCAGATGGGTGGGAGGAAATGTGTACTTCAGTAATAAAGTCACATCAAACTCACCAAGTGTCCAGACAAAGTAGTACTTTGGCCTCAGAGACAGCATGGCCAAGTAAAGGTAGATGACCTGAAGGTAGAAGGGTGTGGAGTTGACAAAGTCATCGTCTATGGCGTGCTCCACTGGGAGCACCTTACACAGCGACAGATAGATGGCCAGCGAGATGGCACATGTACACAGTTTGGAGATGACGTCATTCTGGGTGGAGGTGAAAGAAGAGAACGAGATGCAAATAAGCAGCCCATTGCAAATTATATTCAAAAACAACAATAACCATATTAGGAGACATCATGGTTGTACTTAAAAAAAACTCTGTTAAGTTTACTCGAGGTTAACGCAAGTCCTTGAGCATTCTCTTGTGTTTTATATTTAGCAACGCTTGTGTTTCTCTCTGTTCCTTTCTCTTCTGAGATCACACACTCAAATCTGGTAGTGTAATTAAATTATTAATGCATTATGCAAAAAGAAAACACAAATAACCTTTAGTTTTAAGATTTAGACATTTGCATCATTAAATTCTCAATAACGTCTCAGATTCTGTAAGCGCATTTTAATTACCGCACCCCTTAAAACTGCTCTACTATTGTATGGGCCTTTTTCAAACATTACCTAAATATGCATTTAAAAAAAAAAACTCTGAGAGCTTAGTGCATTTTAGAATGTATTTCGCCCACCGTAGCAGAAAATGTAAGTCTATTTTACCACAGTGTTCGCAGACTTCACATGATGTATGCCCTTCTATTCAAGTGGTACAAACTGTGTTGTACCTTGGGTGAGGGTTCACTCTGCTTGTACTTCCCGTTCTCCTTGCCGTTGGAGTTCTCCTGGTGGCGTGGCTGGTAGCCCGTTCCTTCGATGAAGGCCATGTAGTCGTTGTAAGAGCAGGTGGGCCCTGCCAGGATGCCCATGAAGTTACAGTTGTAGCTCAGGTACTCCAGCAAGCTGGGCATCCGCCTTAAAGGCCACCGGGAAGAGAGAAGAGCAGATTTGTTGGGGGAAGGGGTGATGGGATGTTTTCATGTATTGCAGCAGTTTTTAACAGACCATGTGTAACAATGGCTACCTGTCCACTGAGAAACCAGTGGGGTCTATTCTATTGAACTATGCAAGAAAAAAAGGAGTGCCTGAGGGCTTTGACTGACTGAAGACTTTTGTGTTCTCTTACCCTATCTTGCTGAATTTAATCTGCCTGGCAAGGTAGCAATCAAACTGCCTGAAGAGGAGCACTTGTTTTGACTGCTAATTCGTCACCTTCCCAGTAACCACCCCAGAGTCAGCGGCTGACTCGCAGTAGCCCAGCAAAGGTTTATGAAACAAAGGTTTGGGGCCTCGTACACATACTTGGGACCTTAGGGGCACATTGGTCACCACTATGTCAAGATGTGAGCCTTGCTCTCTGCTCTGTCTCTTAACTGTTATATTATTGTCACATATTAACTCCCTGTTAGCCTAAGGTAGCAACTCATCTACTCAGCAACCCTATGAACTGTTTTTTCCCCATTATTTCAGCACCTTCAGCTGCACTACTGTCTCAAATAGTAACTGTCAGGGAAGGAAATCTGAGGTGTTAATGCAAGATAGGTAGAGGGTAGGGCATTCAAACCGGCCACATGAAAGTAGTGAATGTGTGGTTTCCAGGATACAGAGTGCCTAACAACTGCTTGATAACACCAGAGAGAGCCTGCAAAGGGGGCAATGTGGTGAGTTCCTGTACAGAAGGCAATGGAGCCTTTATTAAAATCACAGAGTACATTAACTCTTTAATTTAACACAGTGTCAACATTTTGACTCAACTTGATTGAATGGGCCCATCACCTGAAGCAGTAAAAACATACCTGAGTCACATACCTGATAGCAAGGTATTTCTGAGTGGGAGTCAGCTGCACATCTCGCTTGGCCAAACCTACAGACAGATGCAAAGAGACACATGTCACATTTAAAACAATAGAAATGTATGTACATGGACAGCTGAAAATCATATTCTGAGAATCATTCACTCACACAAACACACGCACACACACAAAATGTGTTCTGATCAAGCTCGGACTCTCAAGGCGTGCAGGTATATCAAACCTAGCCGGTCGTCGGATGTACCTGCCATTTCAACACATGGGCCAGTAAGTGACTCATCATCTAACACAGGTTGTTCCACTGTTCTGGTTGTACTTTTGCGTTGGCCCCTTTCTGATAAATATTCCAGGAGGACAGTTTTCACCTTGGCTAGATATCCTCAAAGTAGTTACTGTTGTTTTTGAGAAGGTCTGTAAAAGTGTGCTTTATTTGGAGGGCTAAATGTCTGGGAATATTTGATTTTCAGTCCGCTCTTTGTTTATGAAGTCCTGCGGCTTTCATAACTCATTAGACTGAGCACTCGTGGCCAGATTTGGCATCATGGTGAACGTGTAGGAGCTGAGTGTACGGCTCATCGTGCAAGGCTATGTTTAGTTAGATTCTGCTGCTCCTTTAGCCACAATTAAACCTATGATCCCAATCAAATGACTGAATTATGAAGCAGCTTCACTGGTGCTTTAATAATAGCTGGATTACCAACGATAACTTAACTGTAGAAAAATATATCTAGTATGCGTAAGTATAAACAGCACACAGGTATCAGGGTGTGACAGTTCTCCAAGGTCATTAGACTCGGAGAATCTGTGACCTCAACAGAATTTAAAAAACTATGCTACTTTAAACTGCATCCACATGCATGTACGAGCAAACACACACATTGATAAACTAGACTGGCGATTGTGTTCATGCTAGAATATTCTGAGGGGACTACAAGCGGGAACTAAAAAGCTACGTGTGACTCATATTCCTCTTAATCGCAAAGCCCCTCGGACACTTGATCGCACTTGTTTATTTTAACCTTGGTGTCAATTCTCCATCTTTAATTATTGCTCATTAGCACATGTGGCGTTTCAGTAACTCACAGCAGAAATGTCAAACTTAATTTGTTTCAAAAAGCTGACTTCAGTATTAGCGTGGCACAGGACTACATTTACCGTACAGTGCTTCACATTGAGCTAATAAATGGTTAAAGCATTACCATACATGGTTTAAAAGGTATGCAGCCTAGTTCAAATTCAGCTTGTGTTTTAAGAGAGCCAGCAAGAGAGGGAGAATGTGCATACTTGGTCATTACATAACTGTGTTTGCCCTCTTTCTGGTTCACTAGTCCATTGTCAGAACTGACTACTGGCTTGGAAGCATGGCCATGTGATCTGTTTTTTAAACTCCAAAGAGAACTGAACCATTTTCACTTCTGTCACGTCTGCCACTTTTTTATTTCTGCACAGCGGATGCACACACACTGAAAACACACACACACTTTAGAGACGCTTTGATGCCCGCCTTACCATCGTGTATTTCAAACGCCAAGCTGGTAATCTTCTGTGTTATAACCATCATGGGCCTAATGAAGAGCATCAAACAGATAAAGGCCACGTTAATGTGTGTAGATTTCAAAACCGCTGCACTCAGTAGACTAAGAAAGCAGCACTACAGCAGAGAAAGATCAAACAAACCGGCTCATCACAATGTTTTGTTTGGCTTTTTAACAAGCTGACATTTACATTATTTTCATACATACATCACCTTTATAATAAATGCTTGTTTTTTTAGTTTAGAAGATGTTATTGTGTTAATCTGCTGGCCCATGTTTATTCAATCATTGTTGTTTCCTTTTACATGGGTAACTACTGGCCTTAGATGCCAATTCATCCAATAATAATAGAAACAGTATCAGCTGCAGTAGTATCTCCACAATGGGAAGTTTCCTCCGGGGTAACTGCAGACCTCTGAACTTCCTTTAGCTATTCTTTCTCTACTTCTTCCATATTATTTAGGCCCAATATGGCCCTGTGCTACTCAGCCCCCTTCCTCTTGACTTAATAAAGGCATTCTCTTTCAATAAGGATTGTAAATATCTGCTCTTGTGTGCCTTAGCCTGCATTTAGATATATAGTCAAAACATGCAACTAGCCTGAGATGTTCTGGTCTTTCAATAAAATAGCTTCAAAAGACTTAAGAAAATTAAAGATTACCAGGTGCTGTAAAAGTACATTTGCCTATAAGGCTCACACTGATGTTTTAGAAAAATGACACTGACATTTACAAGAAAATGTTGTTGAAACAGTGAAATCTCTGCCCTTGCAGAGGCAGTATGGGTTTGCATTAGGTTACTTAGCAACTGGCCACCCCCACCCCTGCTGAGAGTCCAGGCTGTCTGCTTCGATTGTCAGACAGTCTGGAGGAGCTGGAACCAACCACGAGGAACTTTAGTCGCTATCAACTGGGGACTTCTTTCGGTTTAGCTCAGACTGGTTGAGTCATATCCAATATTCCCCTGACTCTTACAGGTAACATCTCTTTTAAGTTTTATTTGTACTCCACTTGAGCATCCACAATTAAGACCAGTGTAGGTCTTCAGTTTTTACTGGAGAACCAGAAATACTCTAGAGAGCTCTGTGGTCTTACCCTGTAAAATCTGCAGAGTACATGCCATAATCAAACACGTAGACTCGTGTGATCTGACACAATATCAGATAGCCAAGCGTCACAATGAAGCAGTACCTGTGCGGAGAAAGGAAAGAAAAGAGAAATGAGGACATTAATACATAATAAACGCAGTGCAAACAGGTGAAACACATGTAAGAATAAGAAAATTTTGCATTGAAAGGCCAAAAACTAGTAGGGAAATCTTGATGAATATGTTCTAACATTAACTGTCAATCTAATTTCTTAATGCAAAGTTCGGAGGAGAGAAAATAAACTTAGTCCATCTTTTTGTTCTTATATCTATAGCAGAAAAGACTTTCTTCTTGTACAGTACGAAAGACAGCAGCCTCGGTAACAGGGCAGAGCTATGGAAAGGGGAGGGGGTCAAAAATTGGACAAAAAGGCAGGAGGAGGCTCCAATAATGTGTCACTGTCAATGGTTGAAGACAGAGGACAACGCAACCTTTCAACAGAAGACCAAACACAGAGCAGCACTAAAGCCTGTTGTACAAGACTGTTGCAGAGTCAGTCCAAGTCAAAGCTAGCTGGCTACCATTCCTCTGCTGCCAACAATAAGAGTATTGTGCTGCACTGAGAAGGAATACAACACTGATAGGACACAACGGGACCTCTTGATTCTGAGAGCCTACTGTATCTGCAGTCCAGGACACCATCTAAACTCTGGAGCCAAGAATTTCTAACCGCTCATGCTGCTGCGATATGAAATATCTTCAGACCTTTCAAGATCCATCTCAGCCTCTAAAAACTCGGACAAAGATTACACACTACTATTAATCACTAAACCCTTTAGAGAAGGCACAACCCACACTTGGTGTGCTTTTCAGTGTACACAATATTTCTCAGGATCTCGGGAGATCCGTCCTACAGCAACAGGGCTCATTGAAGTATACTGTGTGGACACATTCAGTAATATTAGGTAAAAGGTGTGTTTCACACTGAGTAATTTATTTTTGGAACAATGGTTGGTTTCAGGAAACCAACCACAAAAAATGGATATGACATTATGTGGTATGCTTCCTACTGGGCCACCCATTCATAAACTTTTCTATACTGGACAACATAAGTGGTATTCAGCTAACATTGTCCACTATTGGCTAGAACTCTAGAGGAATCTGGACCTGCAAGTAGGGCTGGGCAATATACCCATAATGATAATTATCGCAATATAATTTTCCACAATAACATAGCAAATGTTAAATATATTGTCACTAAATATTTGATTTAATTCATTTGGATCATGAACAAATTAGCACTTAATTTTTCTATTAAGATATTTATTTTGTTGAGAAAAGGGACTGAAAAAAGATTTGACTTAATTTTACTCCAGCATATTTAAAAAAGGAGATTTTGTCATGTTCTGACCATAAAGAACAGTTTAATAACACAAATAACCATCTGATTTCTTTAAAAAGCAATAACCAGCCTTTTAACTCGAAATATATAATAATTTGGCATTTATTGTGATAATTATCGATATCGAATGGTATGAAATTTTTTATTGTGATAAATTTTGGGCCATATCGCCCAGCCATACCTCCAAGCATGTACCAAGAGGGTAATACCATCACTGCCAGGAGTCCAAGGCGACGGACTCCGTATCTGTGCCTAAACGTGTATCCATAAATCATGTTTTGCACCTCATTCACAAAGGTCTCCCAATTTCGGTACTATTCTCTGCAGTACACTGAAAACCTACGAGGCAAAAATAGTGAATATATTAATTTATTTTCCCTGATCAGTGGTTTGTTATACACGGTAGAAAGAAACACCTGAACCAAAATCCTACTTATAGAGTAAGTTACAGTAAGTTGTCCTATTCCACTGTTTACAATGGGGCTTTACCTAATTTGACAATTTCATGAAGCAAGTGGCCATATCCTGTTGCAGACCACTCCAGCAACATCAAGATAAGGTGACCAGAGTTCCCAAATTGCTGTTTGATTTGTATTAAAAGTAAAGGAAAAGTAGAAAGTTTACTAGCTTTAACACAACGACTAAATATGCTCACTACTACAGACAACATGATAGAAAATGGACATTTTTGCACTGTAAGAAAGCTTTAGGTTTTTCTATTGACTCTGCTAACAATTTCAATCCTTAGCAACAACCCTGTTTCACCAAGATCAGCTTTCTCTACAGGCAGCACACAGCAGCAGTTATTATCAGTGAGGATTTGAGCTATACTGTATGTGCTGCAGCAGCTATATTTGCAGTGGGCCACCAGGGATTCTGTCTTCATCCTCATCTGATTTGTGTTTCTGTAATTCGCAGCTCAGAGGGGGGTGTTTCATTTCCACTCAAGGCATCGGATTGGAGTCTGGGACTAAAGTAGGGCTGGTCTCCCACTGTGGGACAGCGGTAGAAGGGTCAACGTGTAGACGAGGAGCCACAGGTATAGATACACAGTACACACTGTACATGGAGCAATGAAAATGAAAAAAAGACAGGCTATAAATAAATGTATGAACACTCCCAAGACTTTTCTCTAAGGTTGTGTACACATAGTAAACGGCCTGAGGCGCGCGTGCGTGTCCGCTTGCTCAAATGCATAAACAGATCCGGGAACAAACTTCTGTCTGTTCAGCATGCAACTACGAGGCAGTAATATGCACACTTATCACCGTCAGGTTCACAATCATGCTTTTTCACACCAAAATGAATACGAAATCCAATTGCAAGCTTATGTTACAGACAGAAGTTGTATCCATAACTCAAGCCCTCCTGAGGATTAGATGGCTGTAACTGGAGATGCGTGCAGGGTAATAGAGTAGTGTCATGAGTGGGCAGACCATCCCAGAGAACTAATGTTTAGTGCCCCTGCACTGGAAAGTGTCTGCTCCGATTTAGTGTTCTTGGGCTGCTAGGTTACGAGTCGGGCTGAGTAAACAGCTAGAGGGAGGACCCTCAGCTGTCAGTATTGCCCTTCCCCATCCTCTATGTCAAAACTTATCTTGGAGCCACTCAGTGACACATTACTCTCACAGCCTTCCCCATTGGTTACCCCATATCTCAGGATTTCACAATTCTCTGTTTCTCCCAGCTGTCAACCAGCAGGCAGTGCTGTTTTCCCAACTTGGGGCAAGTAGGTAAGCATCCAGAACATTCCCTTTCTGCTCACCACATTCAACAGGTGAACAGTCAAAGAGAGTGGGGGAGTGAGAGATCCAGATGCAAGAGTGAATAGTATGAAATATGACACCTCCCCATTGAACAAAGTGGTCAGTCAAGAGCCACACTACGCCGGGTTTACATTCACAGTCATTCCCACAGTCCAGAAAAAAAGTACTTTTAGCAGCTCCACAAAGCTGTCACACTGCAAACACTGTACAACCCCTACCCCCCTCCCCTCCCCTTGCCGGGTATCTGAATGGGAGAACAACAAATAGAGAACACAGGTCCCGACACAGTGCAACGGTCTTGAGAGCAGCGCACTGTTAAGAGTATGTTTGCAAACTCTGTCCGAGCATAACTGCAAACAAGTCTTATAGCCAAAGGTGTTAGTGGAGGTAAAAGCGTATATATTCATCATTATACTGATTTATTTTTATCTTGACTCAGCCGTTTTATCTTTAGCAGGTGTTACAGCGTGTTGTGTAATACTGCAAAAACATTATGAGGTGGGATAACTGATTGGGGCATGGAGATCAGAGTTTTACCAATGAACTACTTCTATGTCTGGTTTTATTGAGAGAGCAGAGCAAATTAGCTTCCTCTTTTTCTTTTAACATGAACATACAAATAAAATAAAGAGAGACAAACTAAGAACAACATAAAGGGGGGGCAAGAAACTAAAGTGGAAATATAACCATGAAAACAAAATGTAAAAACTGTAGTTGCTAAAATATTGTCATGCACATGATACAGCAGTATGTTAAATTAAGACCTGCACATTTTTTAAAAGGTACTGTGACTTTATACAAAGTAGCGGACTGTATAGAGAGAAGGAACCACAGTTAGTCCTCATTCTTGTATATACGAATATACATATACATAACAATGGCTTCACATATTTGAAAACCTTGACTATCTATGCAGCCCATTCAAGTGTAGTTCAAAGAGTAACAGCCATGGGTTGAACATTGAGAGGTTTCTCAATCTGCGTTCTTGTCTGCACTTGTGTTCTTGTGGACCTGTGAAACGTCATAAGTCGCAGCCAAAGTACTGTTCCAATTCAAAAGTCCGCATCTAGCCAAGTACATTTTGCTGCCAAAAAGCGGAAATGTCGGACGAGAAAACTCAGAACTGCAACTTATAATACTTGTGTGTACTATAAGTAACTATATAACTACTATATGTTCTTGTGTCACAAATAGTAGTTTTAAGAGTTTTTAATGAGGGAATACAGTTGTTTAAACTCCAAATATGTGGTTGATTTCTCAAGACAGAGCTGATTGAAAAAAATGATACGACGTTTTCGGAGATGTGAGGTCCCGCCCGCTAACGGTCCGGCCGTCATCAAGTTCGCTGCTGCTCCAATTGCTGAATGACTGACGGCGTGCTCCCGTTCCTGGAAGTTTATATTCCCAAGCTTTAAAGTACAGAAGTCCGAACTTGGCGAACTCGGTATTGAGAAACAGTGTCCTGCCTCTGTGGTTCTCCTCCTCTCTGCCCCTGAGCTGCGCCATCACCCTCGGGGGGCTGGGTGCATTTTTTTATCTCTGGAAGTAATGGAGGTGTGTTGGTTTGGCTTGGATGACAGCCAGCTTTCAGTTTTATAAGAGCTACAGTAAGAGGGAGTGGACGCTTATCTGCCCACTTACACGACAGACATAACCACCAGTCTAAAGGCACACTAATGCTGTTTGTAGAGGGTTACGCTTCCAAGAATAATGTCATATGACACTGCCAGCTGTTGAATTGCCATCTTCTAGTGTGGCTAAACATGTATTGTGTCTTACGCTACTGCCATTCTGTCGCTGGGTTTTCAGTCCTTTCTTTCTGAGGGCAGTTGCTGATGTGATTAATGTTTTGTTGGCGTCTATTTAGAGCGCTCTCCCCAGGGGGAAACATCTACTGTTTACACCTGCACTCATGACATTGAATTCTGGTAAAAAATAACATCAAAGACTGTCTGTCTCTCTGTGTGTGTGTGTGCGTGTGTGCGTGCGTGCATGCGTGCGTCTTGATGAGCCATGGTCACAGATGGAGGGCTGGGGGCATCATTATCATCATTGCCATCATCATGGTGACCCAGGCTTGTATGCCTCAAAAACACAGACAAATGAATGAAGACACAAACAGAAGGGTGCTCCTGTTTATCTAACATCTAATATCTGTAAATTCTGAACAAGATTTTGGTTTACTGGCTTTGACAAAATGTGTTTGTCATGCTTCCGCTTCCCCTTTCAGGTTCATTAATGTGGGGGAAATGAAGAGGCTTTTTACAATCCTATGCGATTCTGACACTTCTAGGAACCGTGAAGCCAAATAAACAAATCTGGTGGAAAACCGTTCAAGTTTTTTAATGAAATTTTGCATTTAATTTGTGCTCCACCTGCACTTACTTGTGCATGTGCTCCAAGCCAGCAAAGACCATCACACTGTAGGACAGACCGCTCTGCACCAGGAAATGGAGGGAGTACCTGTGGAGAGACAGACATTATGAATGATTAGGCACTTTTTTGAACTCAACTTTTGACATTTTCTTGCCATTGTTTCCTGGTTTGTTATTTACTGAAAAAAGTATTCTTTACCACTTCCGTACACTAGACTATATAAGACTTTATTTGCTTTTTGTATTACCTTCCACATCCTGCTTTGTCATCCCATACAGTAATAACGAAAAGGAAATAACAGCATTATGAAACTACGGTCACACCATAAGCTGTGTGAGGCCAGACCTTTGTAGCCAATAATGTGTAATCTACAGTCACAAGACAGGATAGTGACGGTCACCGTCACACTATGTTCTTAACGGATTCCCTTGACCTCTAGCTCCAAGACTCCTTATATTGGCACCATAATTGAGCATGAATGTGTATGTGTGTGTGTGTGTGTGTGTGTGTGTGTGTGTGTGTGTGTGTGTGTGTTGATCAGATTCGGATTTATATCCACTTCTCTCCCTTCACATCCACGCACAAACATAAAGTTCAACAGCAGCAGCAGCCACCAGATGGGTCTTTGAAGGGCACAGTCTGTGATGCTACCGACGTCAAGCCCTCCAGGAGAGGAGAGATGCCACAATGTGTTAGCAGTGACTCAACAAAGAGGGCAAGGGCATCGGGGGGTTGGCAGGGAACAAGGGAGCACAAGGTGGGTGGATTCAATGAACCGCCCAGCAAATAAAAGGGTTAAGAATGCAGTAATAATAACCTGATGAAGGGAGTGGAAAAACATAAATAAAGTTCTTAAGACATTGTTTCAACTATTGAACAATCTCAAAAATGTCTTCTCCAGTGACACTCAGAGTGGGAATACGTCCTAAAATAAACCAACACCCTGCAGCATCTGTGAGGCAGATCCTCTAGGGCTGCAGCCAGGTGCCCTCTAAGACAGAACAGCGGGAGTGTTTGTGCAATGGAAGCTAAAATTATTGTGTGTGTGTGTGTGTGTGTGTGTGTGTGTGTGTGTGTGTGTGTGTGTGTGTGTGTGTGTGAATAAAAAAAGGTGTGCAAATTTAAGTGTATGCATAGATGCATTCATGCATCATCCACGAGCATGCTGCTCTGGCAGACGCTGCTTGGGATCCTATAAACAATTAACATGTGCATGGCTCTAAGTTGCTGTGACTTTCCTCTGTTTGAGAAGTTTAATAAATAATTACACTCATCTTTTTTGAATCACAACTTTTGATTACATCATTATATGTTACGGTATTGTAAAATTAGTAGTTTTGGGGATAAGAACAATTTATACCTGTAATTAAACATAAAATACTTAGCTTGGAGCACTGAGCCCAGCACAATAAATACCATATACTACATTTGTAAAATGTGTCTGTTCATAGATATTTAAAGAAGCTTGTGCTCTATTAATTACTGTAGCAAATAAAAATTCTTTGGCAGGCTTTTACAGACAAACAGATAAAGAGGTTGTCATGACTTTGTCAAATGGTACAGGATGATACAGCTCAGTGACTATAGTACATTAACTTACTGTTTTGTGTCTGACTAATTCTATGTCTCAGTTCCTTATTTCTTATACACTTATTTCTGTTGTATTTTTAGGATGTGGTGATGATCTGGTAACATGTCCTGATTATTTAATTAAATCAGCCTTGCCGGCAATTGCGCCTGGTCACAGTACATCCACATAAGTGTTTGTTTTTGCCACTGACAGGGTTGTTATTGTAATTGTCTGACAACACTGAGGAAATGATCCCTACTAGGCCTGAACGATTAATCGTTTTCAAATCGAAATTGCGATTTGAAAGTACGCGATAAGCTAATCCTAAAGGCAGCGATTAAAATATAGGTTTATTATAGACATACAGCGCATCTGACCCGTTTTAAACAGTTATGCAGTTACAGATTCATTCTGTTGTCATCCTTGTGTGACAGACTTGCTAACCAATCACAAGCCCATGCAGCTCCTGTTACGGTCCTGCTCACTAATCAGAGCGGGCACAGGGTGTGTACATTTTACAACAACAAACGAAACCGGAGGATAACGTCGGATCATGGTGTCAGGCGAATTGACACAGGCGGCGGCTGTGCCGCGGTTTTGTCCGGCGTCAACTCACACTGAAGTGTTTCAGCAGCAGAGCATTTAGCCCTAAGTTGTTTACCCTTACACTGTTGTTAATTTTTCATTTTGTGTGCTTCAAGTATGGATAGTATGGATAACAGCAGGCTACATATCCCACATGGGGCATTTCAGAACAAGAGCGTTTTGCCTGCTTTATTTAGAAAAATTTACCGAATTCTCTATGCCGTTCTGTGTCTGACTTCCTGCCCGGTTCATCTGCTCTGTGATGCTTGACGCTGCTTCCATCAAAAATAGACTGGCAGTAAATATTGAACTTTCGCTGAACTTTTTTTGTTTTTGTTTTTTTAAATCGCAATATCTGGCAGAAAAATCGCATTTAGATTTCTTCCCAAAATCATTCAGCCATAATCCCTACAGAGATAGACCTTTTTTAAAGAGTTAGATCCTTTTTGTTCAACCAGAAACAATCGCTATATCGCTCTCTTCAAGCCACCAGACTCCCTTGACAAAAAACTTTTACCTTTGCAGAACCAGGGAGTTGTTGATCTACAGCTGTCAATGTAGTTTCTGATTCAGGAATGAATTATACTACATCACCTAGCCACAACAAATAATCCGACCCAACCGCAACTCAGTGTCAGTTGACCGTGTACAAAAACCGTCTGTCGGGGAGGTGACGAAGTAAAACCCTATCATCTATCTATAACCTGATGACAAGGTAACGTTTCACCTGGTTAGCATTTCCCCAGTAGCTGGATGTCTGGCTAATGTTTCTTATGTTTGCTCTCACACACACGCACACACACACACACACACACACACACACGGACTTTGAGAGGCACTCCGCCAGAGGTACAGTGGGTTGTCCATTACAGGGCAATAGCTTTCTAATTGGATATCAGTTACTCCCCTATCGACCCATTTGCTTTGGCAAGGGGAAGAGAATGAGGACGGGGTGAGGGAGAGTGAAGGGGGGAAGCGATGAGAGGAGGGAAGTAGGATGATGGCAGACAGGTAGCAAACAAGGAGATGGGTATAAGGACAATGACAGGAGAACAAAAGCAGAATAAGAAACTGCAAATTGAGTGACTGATAATTTAAAAGTAACATGAGACAAAGACAATGATGAAACGCTATTAATCAAAACAACAATACAAATGATACAGCAATTAACTAGAATTGAAATTGTTAATGTCAGGTTTCTGTCAATGTCAAGCAGATGACAAACATTTTTGGCAACTGATTACTGAAATTGGTTAATTGTTTCAGTCACTTTTTTCAAGCAGACATGCCAAACATTGTCAACATGCCAACATCTTTTCTTTCTCTCATGTGAGAGTTAAATGAACTGCTGTTTGAACAAAACAAGACATCTGTAGACGTCGCCTTGCGCTTTTGGATCTAGTAAGGAGCATTCTTCACTATTTTTGACATTTTATAGGTCAAACAATGGATGTATCTGACTTCAACTGAGTGCAAATATAGCAAACAGTTTAATTTCCTACTCAGCCTCTTTGGATTTAGTCTTTCTTTCTAGGGATATACATCAGTGACCTTTATACAGTGCAGTCAAAAGACCCTCAGGAATGTGATGCCCCCTTCTGCTCAAACAAAATTACTTTTAACTTCTCTGAAAGGGTATACCTACATGTAAAAAAACAAAAACAAAGCTGAAACAAGGTTGAAACCAAAGATAATTTTCACGGTCAATTAATTAGATAATTTAGATTTTTGACTGTTTTGTATTTTAAAAAATCCAAAAAAATTAAAACGCCCATTATGTTTTTATCTGACAAACACCTGAAAAATCAAAAGACATGCCAAATATTTGGCACTGTTGTTTCATACTATTACAATTTAAAAGATTAAGATTAAAAGAAGTAGACAGAACCACCGTGACGTCACCCATTGGTTTGTGGACTAGTGTTTTGAAGCCTCAGGTCTGACATTTGGCCGTTGCCGTCTTGGCTTTTGGAACCAGAAGTGACCGTACTTGGATGAGAGGTTGGAGCTGGGGAGGGATACACGTTGCTATGCCTGTCATGTCGCTGTGGTAACGACTTGTCAATCACAACGTAGCCATGCCCACGCTGCTTTATTGTCTATTTTCTTCTAATTGAGAACATAATTTACAAAATGAACAGCAAGCTGTATTGAAAAAGACTTTAAATCAGCGACTGAGACCATAAACTCCTTAAGGGAAGTGTTTAACAATGTAAAAAAAAAATCAAGTGGGAAGTAGGGTTATTTTATCATAGACTTATATACAATCGGACTTCTTTTTACAACCAGTGGATCCGCCCCTGCTGGCCAGAAATTATGCAGCTTTAAGGCATTTTTGCTTTACCTTTCAGACCCGGAGGTTCCTGCTTGTTACATTCTCTGGGATTAATAGAGAGGCATTCTGGGAAATTAGGAAATCCCTAAGTGAAACAGAAGGGTGCACTTCACAACTTCATTTCCTTTCATTACACAACATTTCACATACCAATACCGGAACCACGACATTAACAATATCCTTTCAAACTATCCAGCAATTTACAGTATTGTAATCACAATAGCATGAAATTTGGACATGGTCACAGTCTCCAGGAAAAAAATATCTCACAAATATAATACTGTTGGAAGAAATTCTGAGGAAGGAAGGAAGGAAGGTAGGTAAGAGCAGGAGTATAAAATAACAGTGATGACAGCGTGACAAATAGAGCAGTGACTCACCAGCCAAAGCAGAAGAGAGCCAAGTAGAAACCCAGCAGAGTGGCCACCACATGTCTTATGAAAGGACTGGTCTTACTGGGGTGGAGGTAGAGCCGAAACCACACAGCCATCAGCAGGGCAAACAGCTGACATGCCACAAAGTTAACCTGCACAGAGGGACACACAAAAACAATTACAAATCCAAAAAGACTGATAGCTAGAGATGGGCCTGTGTCAGGTTCTGGGATTAGAGTGATATTAGGGCAGATAAATAAATAGTGGGAAATAACGAGAGAGGGGGAAGCACAAAGTTGACCTCTAAAGAAGGATGAACCTACGGTACATATGGTGTACTGTGTAAAAAGTAGAAATACAAAGGATGTGAACACACTGGTCACCCACTGTGAATGCAAGCAAACAAGGTCAAATCCCAGATGTCAGCTGCATGAAAGCAGCATAAAACATCTTTAACACTACATGTTTCCTTAATGGTTCCCCAAGGTGATCACTGAGAACTACATTGCTTATACAAATACAAATGGCTGCCACACAAATATAAATTGTGTCGTCACCTTAGAGGTTGAAAATTCAACCCCAACAGAAAGTAAAGCATACAGTGAATATCCAGAGAGATATCCAGAGGGCTAACCACTGTACATCAGTGCTTACACAAGAACTTAGTAACTAGCTAGTGGCTAACTAGCAAGCTAACATCTTTGACAGTAACTAAACTAATAGATATTTTGTATTTTGAGACTTACATGTACCTTCTGACTTCTTCTGTCACCACAGATTTTTATGGTTGTCACTAACATGTAAAGGATTTCTAGTAAATGGGCTAGAAGAAAGTGCACACAATGCAGGTGTGGTTCACTATGCACTATTGTTTTCTCTCTCCCAGTAGACTACAGATATCAGCATTTTCTATTAACACATGTATTATTGTAGGGCTGGGCAATAAAGCAATAAGGATAATTATCACAATATCATTTTCCTCAAAAACAATATAATAAATGTTCAGTGTTATTTATTGACTGAAAAAAAGATTTTACTTAATTTTACATTTGCTTCAACTTTCACTCAGGAGCAAACATTAGTCTTTGAACTTGAAAACGATTTAGCATGATATTTATCGATATCAAATGATATGAAATCTTTTATCGTGACAACATTGATGGCCATATCACCCAGCTCTTTATTATTATGTTATATTTGTATGTAAATACCTTTTGTCTGACAGGTCAGAGCAAAGCTGGGCTAGAGTGGGTGTTGGAAGCCTTATTTCATCTCCTAATGTCTCCAAATGGCACAGCAAAGAGGCTTTACTCCAGACAATAGTGAGATTGACTGGATCCATCGAGGGGAGGACAATGGAAACCTCTCCGTTTGATTACCAAAACTTTAACTCTGGTCATCCTCAATCATATGGTATAAGATAGAAAGCAGGGTCATATATATTATGTCCTATTGATCTGACTGGTTCAGGTTGATCCTGAAAATGTGTTTATTTTAAGACTTTTTTTGACTGAACCATCACAAACATGGCCTACCTCTCTGTTGACAGTCTTATTCAATTATCCCTCACTGACAGCATTACTGTAGGTGATACATAGTGTTGTGCTTGTGTATGTGTCCGCAGATGTCCTTTCAGCCCATAAACAGTGGTGACTCAGGGATGATGTTTGTTGTGTCTTGCTATTACGAATCTATGGGTCCAGTGTGTATGGACTATTAATCATTCTTATCAGACTACACACTTGTACACACATTTACCTAAGCACAAAGTAAAAGCAGCTTTTATTTCTGAATGTCCTGTCTGCCTTCTGTCTCCCTTTGCAAATGCATATCCACACACAGACTTAACATACAAGGTCAATATGAGTAATTGCAATGCAAGAGCTGTTATCCCAGCACAATGACATTACCTCACATGCGTGGTCATACATGGTCAGTGACTGTGCACATCTTTTTACAACCCTGTCTAAAATATAGAATAGTAAAAGGTTGAAGTGGGACAAAGAGAAGCAGACGCAGGAAATGCTTAGCAGACACAACACTAACTGAAACTAGAATTACCGCCCCACGGTTGTATGCCTCCACCAACCAGTCAAGTTGCAGTTTTCATCCATGTCTGTTCAGACTCGTATAATACATGTAGTGAATATGTGGAAGGACATAAATAAAAGGTATACATTTTTGAACTGATTAATGAAGGATTATAATAGATGTATTGGCTAAACAGGTACACATGTACTTTATTACAATATATAGATGGATTGTTAGAGTAGAGTAGTTACATAAAGGTTTATGTGAAGGTTTGTTTTCTCCTGGCATCTTTAATTTATGCATTTATGCGGCCACTTTATGCATGTCTGAAGGCACAATGGCCCGTCCATGTATATAGGTCATGTTAACAGATCCGTCTGGCCGGTAAGCAGTGAAAGGCTACAGCCACCATGAGCACCATCCATTATCTATGGATTCTGCATGATTAATGAGAGAGAGAAGGAGGGGGACAGATATAGCCTCATGTATGTAGGTCTGTTAGTCTGCACAACTAACAGCGGCAAATCATCTGCACCATTAGACTCTGTGTCATAAGACAGTGAATATTGGGGATTTTCTTTTGTTCAGTGAAGGAATACATACATACAGACACAAATCACAGGAGCGTAAGGCCCCATCCACACTACTCCGTTTAAGTTTACAAAAGGAGAATTGAAACGAATACGATCTCCGTCCACACCAGCGTTTTAGAGTTGATCTCAGTCTACATTAAAACGACACAGCTATTGGCTGTTCAGGTACACTGGGCATGCGTGTGCCAGTGTAAACAGGAAGCAGATGGTCTATTCTGTAGAAGATTTGGAGAAAGAATAAATAAATACTGACCGGGTTTTTGACTTGGTATTGTTATTAAAATATTCTGTACTGTGCAAATAACACTTATCTGCCTAGACTTCTACTGTGCATGTCGCCGTTTACTTTACGACGACTCCCAGTCTGTTTTCTGCCGCCACACTCCCATGTTACATTCAGTAACAGTCCCAGCTCGTTATTGGTGCATGCATGCTGTATTTATTTATTCTTTCACCAAATCTTCTGTAACTAGGAAGAGACCATCTGCTTCATGTTTACACTGGCACACGCATGCCCAGCGTACCTGAATGTTTTCAGTCGTTATGATGTAAACGGAGATCAACTCCAAAACGCAGCTAAAACGCTGGTGTGGACGAAGATCGTATTCATTTTAATTCTCCGTTTGTAAACTAAAACGGAATAGTGTGGATGGGGCCTCAGTACCAGCTGGCCTCTTTTGTTATGGTTGGTACTGTTCAAGGGAAAAACCCAACTGGGACTATAGACAAGTTTAATTAACAGATAATCCAGCAGGAGAACCCAAAAACACAAGGCTGTGAGCAGGTCCTGGTGCTCCTGTCTGAGCTACACCGAAAAGCAAACAAAATCTAAGTAATCAAAGTCATTACACCGGTCGTTGCTTTTCTATCAAGGTGTGTCAGATTAGCTGCAGATAGTGTTTCTATGGTATCTAAAAAGCAAACTACCATTGTAGATCAAAGGCAAACACCCCAAACCACCCATGAGCCAACACATGTTTATTCAGAGTGGCAGCTCCATCATTCAACTATGAATAATACAGTAAGTAGGCCTAGCTTGAATCTAAATAGATTTTCTCCTCATGTGAATAACTGTTTTGTGCTGATTCAGTTTGGGCAATTTCTAGTGTTGCAAATCAGGCAAAATTAGACCCAGGTTCAACTGCAAATCGCCCCCTCCTCCTTTAAATCTAAAGTGCTAAAAATAAAATATGATGCCCTGGTAATGACAACGAGTCACATCAAATAGACCTCCTCCAGCTACTCCTTCTCATGCAAGCCTCTTTTTCAAACAGTGTTCACCCAATCCACCGCTTTGGATGTCATTTCACGCTTTGATTACTTCAAGCTGCTCTCTTAAAGAAGAGGCCATTGCTAGCTGGTTGAATGAAAAGCTCACTTGCCAGCCTGTGCGCCTGCACACAGAAAGAGCGACTGGCTCATTTGCAAACCAGCAAACATCCCACACTTCTTAAAGCAGTGGCAAATAGTAAGAAGGTTCCAGCATGTATTAAGGTAGTTTTCCTGAGCATAATTGTGTGCATGCTTCCACAGCAAAAACAACAAACCAAAGACAAATTCATCTTATATAGAATATTGTTAAAAGAAATAGAGCTATTTTATTACAACTTCTGTTCAACGGAGCGTTCCCTTACAAATTACTTTAAAAGTGGAAAAGTGGAACTACATCTTCTGTCTTTGCAACAGCTTGAGAGCAAGAAAGTGTGAAATCAGCTCCACCCTAGATATCAAGGCATGTCTTTGTAAGGAAGGAATTTCATGTGGGAGACCGGAAGGGCGTGACAGAGGAACTGTATTGTTTAAGTCGAGCTGTGGGTTACTACTTGAAAAGCTGACTGTGTGGCAAAAGCTCTGACTGAGCAATTTATTAAGTGCGAATGATCTATTAAGCCTTTTATGTAATATGAAGAATAAGACTGCAGTAGTTGACTTTTTACACCAGCAACATTTTGATTATGACACATAAATAATTACTATATAGAGTAAAACAGAACGTGGAACTACATGATAAGAGCGGGAGGCTTCGTGGAAAAGCTGTAGAGCAGCCCTCCATTGTACAGCTTGGAACTCTCACCCTTTAAGACTTAATTCTGAACACCAATTTACTTCAACTACTGTTGTCAAAAAAAAACAAAAACAAACTTGAACTAATGATCTTGAAGCAGATCTTCTGTTTGCCGAAAACCACTTACGTCAGTCTGAAAAACAACACATGACAAAAGAGGACTGCTTTCCATGCATGACGAGAAAACAGCAACTGAAGTAAATATTTATGTTGACAGGGCATACTGAACAATATTTAAACATTGCTTTAAAATGCTACCTTACAAAAATAAACCTCTCAATATTCAAGTAGCCAATCTGTGTTCGAAGATAAGATAAGCCTGCTTTTCAAAGAGGCTTCTTTGGCGGTGATGAGATGTATGGAAATCTCTCTGGCAGACTGTGAAAAGACCCACTGTTGTCTCCTTGTGCAGGCTTGTAATTGGACCTGTTGAACTGGTTGGCTTGTTGATTAGAGATCTCAG